GGGGCTGAATAATTTTGCATGCCCAATTTTTCAGTTTTTTATTTGTTAAAAAAGTTTGAAATATCCAATAAATTTCGTTCCACTTCATGATTGTGTCCCACTTGTTGTTGATTCTTCACAAAAAATTACAGTTTTATATCTTTATGTTTGAAGCCTGAAATGTGGCAAAAGGTCGCAAAGTTCAAGGGGGCCGAATACTTTCGCAAGGCATTGTACATCTTCCTTAATTACTGGCTGCAGATTAAGAACAAAACTGAAAATATGATCTGCAAAATAAAACGACCGTGCTTAAAAACTGCATATTTTGGCTGAAAGCACAATTTTCATCTTTATCTCCAAATCAACAATTGATGCAATCATAAGAAACAGTGCATATGGGAAAGCTTTTGGCCATAATGTTTAACCCACAGGGCAAAAGCATGCAACCAGTTAAAGAAAAGTACCTTTAAAATGTAGAATAAAAGACATGCTTGCATCTGGCTTCTTGGCTGCTTCCCAGTCAGTAAACCTTATGACACCCTGAATGTTAACCAACCCTTAGTTGTTACTGCACATGTCATGATGAGGTTTTGAATCCCTGCTCCGAGCAGGCTGTGAGTGACCCCTTACCTCCTCTGTGTGAGATGTGTGTGCAGTAAAAGGCTGTACGTTTCCTCCTGTGGAGAATTTGCGGGTTCTTCAGCAGGTACAACGAGGTGAGAGCGTACCCTCCCACCACCGGGAGGATGAAATACAAAAAGCTGATCATTCTTCCACGAAATCACGTCTCTGCTAGTTCTCACCTGGTATGTTGGAGAGAGTCACCAGCAAAAACTGTTATCGAACTGAACACGTAGGCAAGTGTGTTCTTGTTTCATTAAGCCCTTAACGAAGCCCTACAACCCACTTTGTGCTTCCAGCGACAGGTGAACAGGTTCAAAGCTTGACTAAACACAACCTTCTCTCTGGAAGACAAGGGAAAAACTGGACAAACTGGCAAGATAGAAGAAATGTGTCACACCAAGTGTTGCAATACACAGGAAATGATTACAGTGAAGTCTCCACAGTAAGTGACCGTCTTGCTTGCTCTTTGAAAAGCCACTTGGATTCCACCAGAGCTGTAAAGATCTGTTAATGAAACACTAGCTCAAAATGCAGAGCTCTCTCTTTCTCTTGCCTCTCACCTGCCTGTAGCAATACTACTGTATTTCAACCCTCTGTAAAATGGGTTTGTTCAGCGGGAATGAATGGCTGTGTGTGTGTGTGTGTGTGTCACACCTGGGCATTGCCTATTTGCCCACACAGGATTTCTTTTATGTTTCACTGTTTGTATTACAGACAGAAGAACATATTAATCACTAAATTAGCCTTATGATAACCTTCCAGGTAGTGTAAAATAGGGAAAAGGGCAGCTTGTGTGCTCCAGATGTTTTTCCCTATTCAAAATAAGATACATCTCAATTGCGATGATTTTTAATGTGATCAGTTATTAACCCAATTGACCTAGAGCACAAAGATTAAATAATAATTAAAAACACAAAGGCATCATTGTGAGTGCAGTTATGTGTTTATTTGACAACGGGGACGTGGTAGTGTGTGGAGATATTAAACTAAACTCTAACCACAAGGCCACAAATATTTAAATAACTGCATTTTTGATGGCTCACTGTGCAGCGCATACAATACAAAGTCCGTAGAGCGTAGTACAGTACGGCTCCAGTAGCAGAGCTGGAATGTGACAAACAATGGAGCGACAGGCCGAGCCCATTCCAACAAGCATAGTTTTCACCGGAACAGAGAAACCCATTCACTGCAGCGTACTGTCAGTTTCTAGTATTTTCTCACCTCTGTAGGTTTATCCTTTTGACACAAAGCTTGTGTAAATCCTTGTAAAAAAAAAAAAAAAAAGTGTCTTCTCTGCTGTTTTCCTGCTGTTGTTCCTATTTTCAGTAAAACAGACAGTGGTGCTGTCGTTTGAGTCAGGCCAAAGACTTTGGGAATCTTCAGAAGGAAGGGAGAAGCCATGTTGTGACATGTTATGTGGGAAGATGGGAAAGCAATTTAACATCATTCAGACTTGACATTGAAAAGTGGAACCTGTTTCACAAAGAATGTGTTAGTGTTATCTTTGTTCTTAGATCAAATGCAGGTTAGACAGGTAGAGTTGTCAAGCCTAATCCCATCTGACTTAAAACTTGAAAGACACTGTAACCATCGGTGACACCTGCTGACCAGTGGTACAAGAGCAGAAAACAGGACTCATAATTTGTGGTATGCTAACACACAGGTAATGAGACAGGAAACAGTTTTTAGAGATAGCACTGACCTGATGGAAATAATGAGCAGGGGACCATCCGCAGTCTCTTTCATTTGTCCAGTGAGCTTATCCTGACCTTGACTGATGAGCTAGCACAGGTAGAACCACTGAGCCCCGCCACATTAACAAACTGCTCAGCTCAGCTACACCCATGTGCTGCACTGAGATTAGATTTTTATAGCTACATTCTTGGCATTTTTCCAACTAAAATGTCCTTGTAATCATTACATTTCTCCAAGTCCAAATATTCTAACATTAAACATAGAATAACTCCAAACAACCTACAGCTATGGACAGATAGACAACAGGCACAGGCATGTAAAATTACCGAGATTCAAACCTCCAACTCTCTGGTTGGGAGACGACCACTCTACCCACTGAACCACAGTTTTGGGTTTCTGTTTAGTTTTGCACCATATTGCATCTTTAGTTGTTTTACATTGTACCTCCCCTTGAAAATGTTGTGATCATTTTGTGTCTTTGTATTTGTTTTGCAGCCATTTTCTGTCTTCGTAGTTGTTTGAGCCACTTTCCAACTAGAAATATTAGTCATACAATACAAACAAAGCCACATCTCTGAGAGTGAACTGAGCTGGACTGTTTGACGCCATGTTTTTAGCCGATAGAGGTTACGAGTCCCGTTCATGAACGAGACAGCTTTGTGTCATGGATTAGCACAGACATTAATAGGTTCGACCTAAGGTGCTGCCAGTCTTTCGTGGTTAAACTGGACCAAATGTGAAAGGTGCTGAAATTAAAAAAGAAGTGGAAAAAAAAAATCCATAACCAATTTTAACAGTATCAGCAAATTTTATTTAATTATATGTATATAATTCTGTTTCTTTGTTAATCGTTTAATCGATAATACCCATAGAATATACAGACTATAACCCTCAATAAGTCATCTCTTGACAATTTATTTAAATCTTCTTTTAAAATAATTCCTTATAAAGATCTTGGAGGGGAAAAGGGAGAAAGAAAAGGTTTCAAAAAAAAGACTGAAAACACTGCCAATAATAAATCACACCTATAAGAGAAATAAAGGAAAATACAAATAAAAATATCCTAATAATTAAAAAAAAAAAAAGATACAACTTTAACTCCCTTTTATGTAAAATAAAAAAAGCAACAACTCACAAATATAACAATAGCAATAATAAGAACAGCCATTTAAAAACAATATCTGGAAACAAGCCTCATGACCGACCTTTGGAATCGTCGATACTGTGTGAATGTATGTGGTGTGTTTAAGTGCAACTTTTCACACACACACACACAGATACACTCCTCAGCTAAAGAGAAAGTGTGTGTGCGTGTCAGGAGGGCCGCAAAATGTGGTCCTCTCGGTTCATTCCCATGGTTTCCCAGTGAGATGCTTGGTCTGGTGGCAGGTCGGGGGGGGAGGGGGGAGGAAGCAGGAGCTGGTTTTACTCCACTGTACATATGAAATACATACAATCTTCGTGACTGCTTTGAGATGGTCAAAAAGAGAGAACAAAGTCACACTGAAGTAAAAGCACAGGTACTTTAGGGGGGAGGGCCCAAGCTATGAAGAAACAATACACAATTACACAGCACACACACTCACACAGGAAAAAAAAAGACTCTTGGCTTTGTGTTACTGAAAAGCAGACACACAAACACTTTCACGTGGACATAAATTACAACGATCCACAAGCATCAACGTGAAACTTAAAGCTGAACGAGCAGGATACAAAATGGAAAGGGAAACACCAACCAAATAACAACCTCATATGGCGACAAAGCGTGGCTGGAAAGAAAGTGCTGGCGTGCTGATTGAGTCGTGGAACTGAAGCCAGTTTCCTGCTCAGACGAATGGCTGGGATCTGTGATGCAGGTAGGAAAAGGGAAGTGATTTTCTGAGGACGGAGGAGGAAAGCGGCAGCAAAAGTCAGTGATGCAGGTTAGAAGGTCTTCACCAATCCTGCTGTGGTGAAGCAGAAAGCGGCAGGTACGTAAAAACAGAAAGGGAAGAGGAGGAGGGGGGGGAGACAGCCCTTTGAGTAAAGCATGGTGAGAGTTGGGAGGGTGAACAAAAGGATGAGGTCACCACATGCACCAAAAAGCCTCACTCCAATCCCAGAGTGCAGGCTATGGCTTCTGAGAAAACAGCCTGTGATGTCGCTTGAAGATGTAAAACAAGCCAATGATTTTGCTGCACGAGGACAGTCAACAGTCCAGATCTGGGTTTATTAGCCGCCTGTATGTTGGTCCATTTCCAAAGGGTGGGGGAGGGGTCTCTTACTGGTCCCAGTGCAACAGGAAAGAATTGTGCTGAGTGAGCTGGACCTAGGGGTGGCGCTCCACCAAGCAGCATTATGTACAGTCCCATCCAGAACAAAGAAAGGACGGAGTAGGTGTTAACATGAGACGGGAACAAAGGACACAGAAGTAGTACACATTCATAGAAACATGAGTCGCCATCTCTGAGAAACAACACGACATCACCCACACTGAACAATACACATCCAGTATGTTAACAGGTAGCCAGGAAAAAAAAAATAAAATAAAAATGAACACTGAAAGGGAGAAGGGAACAGGAACAGAAAAGTCTAAATGGGCACAAACTGGGATGTACACAAGCATGATGTGATGATGACTGCTTGGCTGTGCACTGAGCAGGAAGCACAACACTCTCCTGGAACATCCCTGGGTTTGACTGTTTTGTCGATTAATCAGTAACATGTACAGTTTTCTCCAGAGTCATAAAGACTGTGCTGTTCTTCAAAAAGTTCACAACTAAGCTCACAAATTCAGGCCACTTCCATTCAGACAGCAGACATTTTGGCATGTCACAGCGGGAAAAGCACAGATGGTACTAATAAAACTGAAAAGGACATCCATTTATGTGAGCTGGTTGTGTGCATTCTGTCTCACCGACACTGGAACCGACTCATCAGCAGTATTTGTTTCACCTGTGCTTTTCCTGCAGGTCAAAGTGTGTGCCAGGAAAAAGTCTATAGGATGAATCTGAAAACACATGTGGGAAGCTGCGTTCGACCACATGAACTGGCCTCTTGAATTAATGAATAATAAATAGTTCAGATTTGAGCCCCAGCGTGCACACACACACACACACACACACACACTTGTGACTCCACACAGTTGTCCTGGAATGAACAGAAGCAGATGGAGAGACGGTACAAATACAGCAGCGGGAAAAATGACCAGACCCCACTGTCCGGAGTAGGGGTTCCCTAAAACAACAGATTCGGGGGAGCTGAGGAAGCTGTTATGTAATACCAACACGGGCTCATCAGCGATGTTGGGTATATTCAATGGAAAACAGATGAGGCCAAATAAGGACGACACAGTGATGCTACACCAGGGTCTTTTCTCTGTGTTCTGGTGGTATTTCTGCATACGTTACCAGAAGGTCGACCACAAAGTCACATAGGTAATCATGACTTTGTGGTGAGTCTCTTCTTCTCACAATACGAGCACCATGGATATTCTGGAAAACGGGGCTTCCTGTAGGTATCATTGTTGTAGTGTCTGAATGAACACACAGTTTTAGAAACTATATTTTAAACCATTTTAACTGATTTGTTCCTCCTGAACATACCCGACCTTCCACCTATGAAGGAAGAGTTCGGTTTGTCTGCCATTGTAGGTCACAAAATATGTTTAAGATAGAATTTAAAAACAGATATCCCTTAGTTGCTCCCCAGCCAAGTTTCTTGCATCTCTCCACCACTTTGGTAAATTTCAGGAATGCATGCATTCATATAAACATCATAAAATCTTTTAAGAAAAAAAATAATTTGCAACAACAAAACCTGCCAACATGCCAGTAGAAAGACTGAATGTTTGTCTCAAAATCAGGTGTTCAAAAATGACTTGCAATGCAAACGTAAGCCCCAAAACATAACTCTGAACTGACCCAAAAACCATGATGTATAAACAGAAACTGCAGCAAGCGCACACACACACACACACACACACACACACACAAAGCATATTTTGTATCTACATACCTAACCGTTCTTTAAGTCAATGTTTTTCATGTTGTCATTTACATGGAGTGAAACAAAAGAGTTAAGGTGTTGGTTAATACAGTAGTATGTGTTTATACGAGAGGGAGCAACAGATCAGCAACAGGAAGGAGGAGGAAATGAACAAAGGGGTTTGACGAGGAGAGGATAAGGCGGGACATGAGGCGAGAGGAGGCAGAGTCTAACATGGACAAGCAGTACGAGTTTGACAGACCCTACCACCCCACCCAAGCACAGAAATTAAAAGTTAGCTCTGTCTTGCAGTAGAAATGGGAAGATAAGCAGTTAAATGTTCATATTTCTTGTTTTCTTTTTGTTGGTTTCTTGAAGATGCATTTTTCTTTTGTTTAACATGTTGATTGGGATCTTCTTGTCTCTCTGCGTGGCTTTGTCGCTTTTTAGGGCTGAATAAAGGAAAGAGAAGAAATGTGCTCACACAAGCAACCGCATTACACATCACATACCATTCATACAACAAGGACAGGAACAGCGCTTTCAGTATAAAATATAAGATGATAAAAGGTTATGTGTTTGAGTTTTCTAGATCTTTCCATCATTCCTGTCATTTGTGGTAAAACTTATCCACTTACAGAATAGTAACTGTCAAAATCTGAGGATGAAAAATGTTCATCACAATCATTTACAGTGACAGGAAACATAACTGAGGTCAAAACTAAGAAAATAAGACTTTACGCTTTGGAAATCAAAAAGCTAAGTACACTTTTCCTTCAGCTTTGTGTTGAGATGTTTTGTCATTTCATAATTAACTGTAAAATCTACATGGACATACATTTACAGGACACCACTCACACTTGAGGAAATGAAGCAGCAATGTCGCACAGCGCAGACTGACGTGTCACAGTCTTTACAAAGAACGTATTTTACAACCTTTACGGTTCCTTTAGTAAAAGTTAGAATACTTTGACTAGTACAGTAGTAGCTTTTAGTAACTCATTAGGCTTTTTCTGCTTATAACACTCAGCTATCTTTATCCTCAGCCCTGTGTGTACGTCTACTCTCCTGTTGTAGCTGTGTAACCACAAACAAGTTCACTGGCTGTAAAATTTACTGTTGAGGTTTGGGTGTGTTTCAATAAATGTAAAACAGTAGGTGCTCCACTGACATCTAGTGGTCTCATGGTCTCAAACCACACCAAACTCTACTCAGAATTCAGGGGATGAAACAAAGCGTGCTGTTTTTTGACTATAGTGAATTTCTTTGATTGATGTTGACAATTTCTTAACTTGTTTTTCTTCTCGTCTAACAGAGCTGAAGCTGAATTTTGTTCTGCGACCACAGGCTGCTGTAACAGCCCGTGGTTGTGTTTGAGGAAACTGGCATTTGTATGTACCTGTGTCTCTCAGGAGCCCTGGTAGGTTTCCTGGAAACGAGCCGTTTCCTCGAAGATCAGTTCCTTCAGTTTCTCTTTGGGAAGGTCATCCAGCTCCATGGAGAAAGGGAAGGGCTCCTCTGCTACCGGCTACACACACACACACACACACACACACACACAAACAATTTGTAAACCTTTGGTAAAACCTCTGTGGTAAAATTGAGATGTGTGGTGTGCCACACTAAAGCTAGTGCGACAGGACAAAGTGGACAGTACAGTTTTAAAGTACAATTAAAAATGAGCTGTATGCCCTCGAGGAGGAACAGCTGGGTTACTTCCATTTCAAGACTGGAAAACAAAACCTTCTGCTTACATAAATAAACTAAAATGTGAACAGTGATTACATTCTTCATCCTCTCTCAAGCTGAACCACAGAAACAACTTAGTACTAATTGCATTCCAAACACAGCTTAAGAGGCTTTCCAGCACAAAGCAGAAAGACTCATAATCGAATCTTGACTAATGGTGGAAAACAATGATCAATATGGCCACTGCATTTTTGAACCAACATCTGTGCAAATCTCAAACATGGCTGACAGGAGGTACATTTTGTTTTTTCCCCCGCATGTTGTTGCGCAGCTTGTGTAAACTCCTCTTAAAGCACGCTACACTTTAAATGCTTATAGACTGAGCATTCAAAAGGCACTGCTCTTGCAACGTCAGTCTTCACGCATACCTCATCTGTAGGATCATAGTACTGCTCCAAGTAAGGATGAGCCAGGGCTTCCTCAACACTGATGCGCTTGATGGGGTTAAAGGTCAACATGCGGCCCAGCAGGTCCAGAGCTGAATTAGATTGACAAGAGCTTCAGTTTCAGTTCAGTCACCAGGTTGTGCAGCAATATACAATACAACCTTTCTTACAATGGCACCTATTAGAGATGCTGCTAAACAATGTGGTATGTTACTATACCTTTCGAGCCTGCTTTGCAGAAGAGCTTTTCCCAGGGGACCCTGGGTTTTTGAGGCAGGGACTGCAGGTAGTTCCTTGCCTTCATGTTGATGATGCAGTTCAGATCTTCTTGAGATGGAGAGCCAAGGATGTCTGCATGGAGAGGACAATGAGGGACACCTTTCAATATGGCTGAGCAGAGTGTTAACCTTTTGTATAAAGGTGGCAACTTTGTCTCACCCAGTATGTGGTTGAGCTGGTCCAAATAGTGTTTCCCAGGGAAGATGGGCTTGTTGGATAACATCTCAGCCAGGATGCAGCCCACTGACCAGATGTCAATGGACTTAGAGTAGCCCTGAGACACAAACACATAGACATAGTCAGCAAATTGAGAAACCATGCGGTCAAAGTCCACACCAGCTACTCACACAGACACACACACACCCTACCTTTGAGTTGAGCATGATTTCTGGAGCTCGGTACCAACGTGTAGCCACATACTCAGTCAAGAACCCTGTGTGGTCGTGCTCGGGGTCGGCTATCCGTGCCAGGCCAAAGTCACAGATCTGAGCATGACATAAAGGGTCAGAGGTCAGAAAAATCGCTTGGTCAGCCGGTTACAGTTGGATTTTCAATTCAAGCCTCATACCTAAAAGTGTTTGGGTATTGAACTGTAAAAACAGAGTTGGCAAGGAGTTAAAGAAGACAGGAAAGGCAGGGGAAGAGGTGGACAGCACATTACAGACTGAACATTTATGATAACTGAAGTCACCAATAAACCATTAGAGTTGTAAGAATGTGGTATATATACACAACTGCTGGTACAACAACTGATGTGTGATGTTCCTCTGCATTCAGGGTCTGTGAAGTTCAAACTAACAAAAGGGAATGGAACTAACAACAGCTTATATTTATTGAAGACCATTACTTACATTTCTGTGCTTTCATGATACACCTAAACACATTTATTTAAATTGTCAAGCAACAACAAACCATAAAAAATAGTAATAGAATTGACGAGTTTAAACATAAATATAAAGGTATGTGTCAATCAAGATATATGCAAGAACAGGTTTAATGATTAATTAGATGGAACATTGTGGGTGTGGTGTATGATTAACAACACTCTGTAATAATTCTTTAGTATATTACTTGTGTGGTGTAGAAGAGAATTATCTATGTAGAGATACTGCTTGCAAACCAATGATGGTAAGATGATGTCATGGGGTAGGACTGGATAAGTCTGACTTCTTCCTACTCCATTCAAGCATGTACTAGGTATAAGCACATTGATATTGGATTAGCATTTGTTGGATATGTGTAAAATTATGTGTGTTGATATATCAACTGTCTTTACATGCTTGAAAGAATAAATCAAATCAAATCAATCCTGGAGCCAGGCAGAATGAAACTGTACACCATGTACAGGGAACAGGAGGAATGTGCAGCTCATTTTTGCCCTGAGGGCCGTTGCAGGTTAATCCGATCATATTATTTTGATCCTCTACTCTCAACTTTTCTTATCATTCATTTACATTAATTTGCTTTTGTTAAACCTGATCACAAATGAAAATCTTGTATTACATTACATATACTAAGTAACATATGTAGTAGACTGTCACAAATGTAAAGTACAGCTGCAGTGACAGGGTTTTATTTTGGTACATAGGAAAGAAATGCAAGTATTTTTGTCCTGGAGTGGAATGAAGAGAAACCCGCTACAACATGTGCTGCCTTTATCCTTTATGCCTCCCACATGATCAACCAATCCACAGTTGATGGTTGGCTGCTGAGAGTTCACAAGTGTACTCTGAGGCTGAACAACAAGAGCCTGATGGTTCGCTGCAACAAAAACACTGGCAATGTTGGCCTATGTTGTGTTCGAGGCCAAACCACTGCAGCAAATACATTTTAAAAAATAGAGTTAAATCAGTCTGTGATGGAATAAACTGACCAACCTTTAGTCTGAGGCTATGGATAAAATTTTGAATTGAGATGCTTTTTTTTTTTTTTTTTGCTTCTTTTTAAAATGTGTTCTCAGGCCCTTGGTCGTGATTGTAATAATTAACCTGATGCTTAAAACATCCTTTCTCATGCAAGGCACACTGTGTTCTTCAATTTCAACGTTTCCCAGAATGCAAATGGAAAAAAAAGTAACACTATGGGCCTGTTGTTACCAGCTGTGCCACACCCCACACACATTAAACTCCCCGCAGCTGTATTGTGTTCTGAAAAAATGCCATTAGAAACCCTCAGTCATTGATTCTAAAGTGCTGACACCTAATTGGAAATGTTTCTAGTTTTGATTATATAGATCCTCCAATGAAGACACTTCAAGTTTGCATATAAATAATAACACCTTGATTTTTTTTTTGAGAGCGCCATAAAAGAAAAGCAAGGATCGGGTCAGGTCATCACCTACATCCAACATTCCTGAGATTCTTTTCAGTCTCGTTGAGAGCCTGTGTAACTTGCTACTGACATGTAATATATAAATAGAAACATAATGGCTCTCAGCTATCTGAGAACAAGCATTTGCCTTTAATGCACATGTAGTTTTCTTGTAGGTGCATGTGCACCATAGATCACAATCCCCAGATAACACAAAACAAACACCAAAAGTCCTCTTTGTTTCTGCAGTGGGGAAAAACAAAACAGACAGCTTGTTGTCACCAGTGATGATGGCGTGTGTCTGTGTGTGAACTGACCTTGAGGTCACAGGTGGTGTTGATGAGCAGGTTGGAGGGCTTGAGGTCACGGTGCAACACGTTGGCTGAGTGAATGTACTTGAGGCCTCGCAGGATCTGGTAAAGGAAGTAGCAGACGTGGTCGTTGCTCAGCCTCTGGCTCTTCAGCAGCTTGTACAGGTCTGTCTCCATCAGAGTCTGCACGATGTAGCTAAAAGGACCCACGAGTCAAGGAGGACAAGCGCAGGGCTGACGGTATCCAAGGAAAAAACATGAGTACTGTTGTGAAATTTCCCCTGCATTATTCAGCGACATAGGCTTATGAATAAAATCAAGCCAAGAGTTGCTGAATGAAATATCATATTACATTTGGAACACATTTAAACATGTATTCACAGGTTTAGAGAGAATGGAGAGGCAGCAAAGCACACCATCACCACCAGCTTCCTGCCTCTGGTCCCAGTGACTCTGTCGTGCATTCTAGACTTTGATCTTGTACAGGAAGACTTGAATGGAGGTTTTTCAAATGGGTGTAATAGTTGAGTTGCCATAACTTTGTTCCTCAAATCACATCAGAAACAACCAAACTGACAGACCAGATTGAAATATCTCAACATGTACAGAAAGGATTGCTATGATTTTCAGTAAATATATTCACACCTTCCTCGGAATAAACTGTAATCACTTTGGTGGCTGCTTAACTTTTTGTCTAGCATCACCACCAGGTCAATTTGTCTAATGGTAACACGCTAAACCTATATGGTGAACATGGTATCTGCTAATCAGCATGTTACTGATGTTGGCATTTAAACCCTGCAGTTTGCCGACCAGGCAAACAGGTCAGTATATGATGTAGTCAACATCCTGCATTACATCCTGCAACACCTTGACTCTCCAGGGACCTATGCACAGATGCTCTTTGTGGACCTCAGCCAGGTGTTTCCACCATCATCCTGGACATCCTCCACTCTAAACTGACCCACCTCACTATGCAGATAGGTTTTCTTTCCAAACTGATTTTTAAAGTCACATTTTTTGAGTGCAGCTCTGGAGGAAAAAAAAAACTTATTTTTTATATAAATTGTGAGGATTTGTCGTTATGATTTCAGTTGCAACTGTGTTCTCTCTGTCAGTAATGGTGACTGAGATGAGGAACGAAATGCTTTTAACAGTTAAAAACAAAGGATGGGGTGTGGCATTTTAAATCGGTTTAATTCTATGTTAAAGTTTGGTTTGAGTAGGTAACATATGCATGAACAGTGTGAAAGGATACACATCTCTCATGTTGTCAATGTGCCGTGCTCTGAGAATGTCGTTGATGCCAATGATATTCTCGTGGTGGAAACGCAGCAGAATCTTGATTTCCCTCAGTGTGCGCTGGCAGTATGTCTGGTGCTCAAACGGGCTAATTTTCTTGATGGCTACGCGCTGTTTTGATAAGTTGTCCATGGCAGAGCTGAATAGGGTGGAAAGCACAAAGCAGGACTCATATTACATGCTGCACAATTCACACAATGACGAATCTGAGCTGGTACTAAGCTCTAAAAGGGCACTGCAGACTGTTTCCACTGCCAAAATGAACATGTGATACACATGCTGTGATATGCTGTGAAGCACTGTAGGTGTAGACTGGTGTAGGTGCAGTATCAGTGTGGTGGAGGTGTAAAGCAGATCGAGATCAAGTGGTGCTGAGAGCAGCTGTAAATACTTTGTTCCTGGGACCTTTGCACCATCTTCAGTGGCTGAAATACTGTGACATGATCATATTAGTAACAGCACACCTATACAACTGGAGTCTGAACATTCAGCTTTGCAGCATGTGTAGAATCAGATGATATATTAGAACCATTTACTTTTATTTCACTGTGCCATCCAGTGGGTGTTGACAGTGTTTACAAACAGCAAATGCTGCAACGTGGAGTCACACGACAACGACAATACAAACAGAACAGCACTGTGCCATCACACTTCTGTTAGGAAACGGCAGTGATATACACTGCGAGCCCTGCTGAAATCCATGTGTGGGCCCAGCTCGGATGCGACTATTCACTTTGCACTTCCGTGCAATGCTGTCACATCTGATCGTGTTCATTGCTCAGCCTATACAGCCATGACTTGGCACGCATATCATGTGCAACGGTGTTGCTTAACATGTCCACACACGATTGTAGATCACATACAGCGATAACACACGGAAAGGCCTCGCTGAAACCACCAAGTACCTCACTTGCATCCTCTGCAGCAGCTTTGCTGCAGGCTCAATGTTGAGCCATCAGAATTCAAGTAGTGGTTAATGTGGTTTGGAGACAGACACCGGGCATAAAGATTGCTACAGTGATAACTGACTCAAATCTGCAGTCAAATGCAATCTGCAAAAAGATGTGTAACCTGATACTAGCAAAGTACGTCCTGCGCAATCACTCCCAATCTTGTTTCCTGTTAAGCTCATAGCCACGCCTGTAGCTGCTCAGCTAACGTGCTAACCACTAAATGGGCTTCCTTGAGGGTCAACAATGTCTGAATGTTGGGCTATTTAAAATACAGACACGGTGACTGAACTCACATTTACCGTGCAACGCTTGTTGCATGCAACAGCTACGAAGTGGCTGACAAATATCTTGTGTTAGCTAAAGTTGGCACTTTTGATTTAGATACTACGGTAGCCCAACAGAGACGACAACCACAACTCACCAAACCATTCCGTACGCTCCCTCCCCGATGTAAGATAGGTCCGTGTATCGGGGGCCCACATCAAAAAGCTGGCCCTTCACGTACTCGGACCCGTGCTTGGATCCCGCAGCTCCGGGGGCTCCATCAGGCGCAACAGTGCCAGCCGCCCCAGCAGCAGCAGCAGCGCTGTTGGAGCCTGCGGCCCCGACCGCTGCAGTGCTGCTCGAATCCGCCATTCTTCCTCTCCAAACCGCTCCTGCTCTGTCTGTGTGTTTCACCGAGGGACCACCGCCGCACTCAGCACGATTTAACGTTTGTACGAACCGGGCGAACTGTGTGATTGACGGACCAAAGTGCTGATCGAGGCCTCTCTACCACTGGACTGTAAATGGACTTCGAGCGCGAGCGCAGATTTCGTCTGAGCACCCTAGCGTAAATGCGCGTGCCAAACTACAGTAAAACAGGCGCGTTAGATATTCTTATTGGTGTCGCTTGTTTGGGCGGAGTCGCATAAATTGGCTATAGTTTAAATGATAAGCACCGCCTTTGCATCTCCGCGGGTAAAACAAAACAAGCGCAATCTGCAAAACAAACACGCAGCAGCCACGAGTGGGCGTGCCGAAAAATGTTGCATGGTGCCTGTTGTGACAAGAATGATAGCTTATGATCAAATTGTTGCTTTTTTATTTTTGTGATAATCCACCTCTGATCAGCATGATTTTAGTCTGATATATGGTTGTTTATATCTCTGGCACCCACTAACGTAATGTACTGAGTACTTTCCTCACAGCTGAGGTCTTTTGTTTACATGTATACTGGATGTAGCAGGATGTAATTATTGCTGTCAGCGAATGACAATACTGTTGCAAAAGATTTAGGAGCTTTTAAATATCGCTCATTACCATCATAGGAGGCGTCTGATTGGTAACAAATCCATTAGGCAGTCGACAACGACCCCAGACAAGCAACCAGAGCAATAAGGAACTATCTTCAGCAACAAGATCCAAGTCCTGCAAAAGATGGTGTGCGACCCCCAGGGACCCCACATGTGTCTTAGCCTACTTGAAGAGATGAAGAGATGAAGAGATGAAGAGATAACAGACACAGACACAGACACAGGCTAAATCCACAGAAACAATGTGGCCAGCTCTCCAAGATGCTTGGAACATCCTACTTGCCAAACCTTGTAAAACTGCATGAGTAGGTGTAGGCTATAGGAAAACTGGAGCTGTTTTAACGGCAAAGGATGAACAGGCCAAATATTTATTTGATTTTTTCCCCAGCTACTGAACTTTGTATTAATTAATTAGTAAAAACTATTCAAAATGTTGTTTTTGAAAGCATCATCACCTTACTTTTCATAAAATGTTTTGACAGTAGCCCACTGTGCAGCCTTACATTTTAGACAAAACAGGTATTGATGATGTAGATATTTGATGTCTAAAATTTTGACAAATGAAATAAATGTGCAACGTTATTCTTACATATTTGCTTATCCTAGCAATTTTGTTGGAGTCATAGCTTTAAAATTTCTTCTTTCGACCCAAACAACTAAATTATTAATAATTTACCCTAATTTATTTATAAGTTTTAAAATTGAAATGAATTGAACTGTTAATCAAATCGAAATTACATGCGGTCAAATGAAAAATGTAAAACAAATTTTGATTATATTATGTCCTAATATAATAATATATCGTGTCATGTAAGAAATTTTGTGGTTATTAGTGGAAATAAATTTTACATTACTATTTTACATTATTTATTTGTTGTATTTTGTAAGAGAGTCGTATTAAACATGAATCTGGTCACTATGGAAACAAGTGCCACCGTTGTAAGCACGCCTCCTTGTAGACGTCACCGCGTAGGGCGGTGTACTTCCTGGTTTCTGCGTGTTGTGTGTTGTCGTTAAACCATAGGGTTGAGCTATACAGTAATTTGTCTCAAGGGATGGTTAGTTTCTTTTTGAGACGAAACTGGATCGGCCGGATTCGTCTAGTGCTCACTGTCTTTGGATTCCCTTACACCGTGTGCACCTTCGCAATAAGGTATGGACAATACGAGTAAAGTGAATCTTACAGTAGACATAACCATTAGCTAACTGTCCTAATATTAACTAATATATTGACAAACAGTTGGTCTGAGCGTACCCCAGAAATTGCTTTCTCATATTAATTAATAGGGCAAGGATATAAACAGCAACATCAGTACTATTTTGTTGTTAAAATCAGCTAATGTACTGTCATGTAATGGAGAGAATAGCTATGTAACGATGAGGTGAAAGCATTAACTATACATTTTGAATATATTTTATTTAACGCCACACCAAATAAGGTGTCAGTCTAGAGGCAATTCCTTTCATGATCCTCGGCTCATTACATACGTGCAAATTTAATCACAAGACTGTTTCTAATGGAGAATAACAGGTTTAATATGTGAATTCTCCAAACTAAAGCAGTCATCGTTGTACAAACACTAAGATTCCTAGATTTGCAATACACATTCTAAGAATGTAAGATGTATTATTTTCTATCAAACCTATCTAGGCTAGTTTAGATTAAATACTACTGATACTAAGAGTTAGTGTCAGTAGTTTCAGTATCACAATCAGATTCTGATTAAACTGATGAAACTGGTACTACCTAATCAGTAGTATGAACACTTAGATCCCCCTGTCCCAAATATACAATATATTGAAGTGGCTTAGGTACAAAATCATAATCAAACTTTATATGCATTTAACATAATATTTATATGAATTTCAAACAAAATTGGACTAATAATCATTCATATATATTTAAACAAAATCATTAATAATTTAATAATTATTTTGCAAACAATAGGCTATACCATAACTGTTGTCCTGATATGATTCACCTGCTCCAGGGGCAAGCATTAAAGTGTCTCTTTTCCTCTTGAATATATGTGAGAAAGAAGGATTTTTCCATAATTTGTTGAAGAGGCAGGAAGGTGAGGAGTGCACATGAGCTGGCTCTGGGACCAGGATGCTGCTGCAGGGAAGGCAGAGCCAGACATATTTAATGGATTTCCATGTCTCACATTTTTTTCCCCTGCAGGCCTGCCATTTCCTGCTCACATTCTCATCCTTTCAGAGCCAGTAAAACAGTCAGACCCATTGCTTCCAGTTGCTGCAACCCTTACATGACCAGTGTCTGGACAATGCTATCCTCAGCAGCGCCTCATGTAAAGTCCAGATGTCCACAGTATCCAGGATCCAGTATTAAGCGCTTCCCAGTGCCTGATGACAAGCTGGACTGGAATCAAGATTGGCCACAGTATGATCCAGTCAGCTACACCGCCCCTATACTACTGAATAAACCAACATGGGCAGATCCTGATATTGGGTGAGCAACACAAAGGTTACCTAATTCAATGTGTGTTTTGATGATGTAACAGTGGAGAGACTGTGAACTCTTGACGATGCTGGTGCACACAGTTGCAGTGGCTCTGAGCCCTTCCAACTGGTGTAGTTTTTGCACTGGGAGGCACTTTTGCTTGCTATGCCAGTCTTAAGATGTTCAAACGATATCTCGTTGTTATTTATAACTGTGTTATTATGACAATGACAATAAAATATTAAATTGAACTGATCAAAATAGGATTGTATGTTGAATTAGCTATAGGACTGACACTTTTACTTGTGTAGTAGTGTAAAGTTTTGTGTTTGACTTTTGCTTGTTTTTCAGCTTGTTCTCTCCACAGTTCAACACTGTGGATGGTGCTGTGGACAGGACAAGCTTTGAAGGCAGCTACAAAGTGGAAGATGGAAAGCCACTGTAAGTTACCAAGTGCCATGTTGACATTACAAAATGCTAGTTAGTAATACTATTAGCTGGGTTGGTTTTACTCAACAAAGGAAGTGCACATCACAGTGGTGGAAGGGTAACAAAGTACATTTACTCAAGTACTGTTCCTAAGTACAATTCTGAGGAATCTGTACTTTACCTTGAGTAATTTTAATTTTGTATTTTACAGGCAAATAGTGTATTTTTACTCCACTACATTTATTTTATAATTTTAGCTACATTAGTTACTACTTGCTTTTCAGAACCATAATGACATTATTGCAAAATTGACAGTATACAGTATGGGGCGACTGTGGTTCAGCGGGTAGAGCAGCCGTCTCCAAACCGGAGGGTTGGAGGTTTGAATCACGGTGCCTGCAATCTACATGTCAAAGTGTCCTTGGGCAAGACACTGAACCCCCAAGTTGCCCTCGATGGTTAGAGCCATCGGTGTGAGTTAGTGCCACAGATGGCTGCCTCGGTTCTGTACCGGAAACAAATTACTTGTGTGTAACATGGCCAAATAAAGATGATCATCCTTATTATTATCCTTATAATCAACTTGTGGATAATTCAAAAGCTATCCAGCAGTAATTCAAATTATAGACATATGTGCTAGTAAAAACTAGCTCCACATTTACCAGCTGCAACATTAAATGTCATGTTCACAATAATGCATCACTAATTATAACCCAATAACATCATATACTTTCAGGTTAAATGTGCCATTCTGCAAATGAGTACTTTTACGTTTAGTATTTTAAGTATGTTTTGATTCTAATACTATGTACTTTTATTTAAGTAATATTCTGAATGCACATTTTTACACAATGGTGTTGCTACTTTTACTTAAGTAAGGGATCTGAGTACTTCTTCTGCCACTGTACATCTGCATTTCACAATTTTTAAGCAGTAACAACACTTTGTATACTTCATCAGTTTATCTTATTCTGATGGCTTGTCTGTTAGAAAATACTTATCGACTCTAAAACGACTCTCATGTTACTTATACATCCAGCAGTGACTGCATAGAGCAACTCATTCTAACCTAACCTAAGTTATTTTAGGAGACGCATCCTAAAACTAGTAAGCAAAATTATTTTTTACTCACTTAGAAACCCTCATGGACGCACAGGGTTGATTGGTAGAGGTTTGCTTGGGCGATGGGGGCCCAATCACGCAGCAGATCCAATTGTGACCAGGTAACCTTTTCTTTGTTTTGCACATTGCTATTAGATACAGTATACTGGCTAACCATAATTTATTACTCAACTTGGTTACAAAGGGAATGTCTGAATATAGGACAAAACAATTTAAGGTTCTTCTAAAACATGCAGTTTTGTGCCACATGGCCTGATGTACGTCACTGTCTGGCAGATGGAAAGTAGATGAGAAAGGAGCGAAGATCCATCACTCAGTGTCCCAACGGCCTATTCTGCAGTTTGTGTCCATCAAGAGGAAAGACTGTGGGGAGTGGGCCATCCCTGGGGTTGGTGGCTATTACCTTTCCTTAATTGATATGGTCTTTTAATTGCACACGTTCCGTCTCAAACTGTGTCATTCTACTTTGCTCTCAGCTATTCAAGAAAGCTCAGAGACAACAAAATTAAATTCACAAACAAGCCACAGATGGGTTTGGGTGGATTTGGGTATGAAAGATGTCACAGCCCTTGACCTACTTGTTTATAGGTGTGCACATGCTTGTGTTACAGGGGATGGTAGATCCAGGGGAGCAGGTTTCTCTCACGCTGCAGCGGGAGTTCTCGGAAGAAGCTTTAAACTCGCTTTCACTCCAGCCGTCAGAGAGAGCAGAACTCTATGAGCGCATCACCAAACTCTTCGATTCACCACAATTTCAGGTCAGCGGTTCACACGGGCTCACTTGTTTACAATAACTTTATCATTTTAGTGAACAAGTGCTTCTGTTAGGAAAACTAAAATATCCTTCTTCTCCTTCAGGTCTATAAAGGCTATGTGGATGATCCTAGAAACACTGACAATGCTTGGATGGAGACAGTTGCTGTTAATTTCCATGATGGCTCAGGTATCAGTATTTAGGAAGAATGTTTTCTCCCTTTTTTTATCATCATTAGTCACATTTTTGCCCTTCACCTTAATTCCCGCATTTTATTTATGCTACAACAGCTCCATCAATTTGCAGACCACAAAAAAACAACTTTAGTTTCTAAGATACTTTTTTTCTGGGGACAACAACCAGATTTTGTAGGACAATGAGATATCTTTGTTATTTCTGCAGGAGACAGTGTGAGTGAGCTACCGCTGCAAGCTGGAGATGATGCAGGACAAGTCCAGTGGGTTGACGTTGACTCATCTTTTGCCCTCTATGCAAGTCATTCCCATTTCCTGGAGCTGGTTGCCAGGGAGAGGAAAGCCCACTGGTAACCCAGGATGAAAGACTGTTCCGACACCACAGTGAAGGAAACACTATTGCTCTTAGTCTGCTGAGGGTGCTTGGGCTTTGAAAGTGCATGACTTCTAATCCTACATGAATCTTTGCTCACTAATTTAAACATAATAATGACAGTTAGATTATTGAAAGTCTAATATGCATTGTAGCGAAAATTACTACAATTTATGAATATGAATTTTAACATTTAATACCTTGTAACGTCATTTAAAGGAGAACACACTTTCTAATAATAAACAATTCATTTATTCAGTCTCCTCTGAAGTATTTGAGTTCTCGGTTCATTGACCCATGTATCTGTGAATAAAAGAGAAAGATGGCATACAAAATAACTCGTCATAAGCTAAATAGATTTATTTACATATGTACAGGAAAGGAAATGGGAATCAGGATGTAAAATGCATGAAATGGTACATTTGTATCAAAAGATAAATGGATTTGATGTATGAATGAATGAACAAGCAAGCTATCGGTTAGCGATGGTGGAAGAGGGATCGAAATCTTATGACTTAGATATGAGTTTGGAGGGAAAACCTACGATGTTTCTGTAAGATATGGGCTTTAATTTAGGAGTGACTACTGTTTATGAGAGATTAGTGTAAACACGTGGCTGGCAGAGGAAGCAGTCATTGTCTGGACCTTTTCTCGGTCAGAGTTGGGACTGGTGGGCCAGAGTTCTGGGGCTCATCTGGGCTGCAAGCTTTGATACGGATCCATTGTCGCCAGCTTGGTTGGCTCACTCATCTTGGTGGGCTGCTTCTTGGTTCGTGACCGTGGTCTCTGCTCCATAAGCTTGCTGCACCGAAGGTCTGTTCTTTGTGTATGACGGTTTAGAGATGTTTTGAAAAAGAACCAGCGTCTAATTTGATCTGATCACCACAGAATCTTTCTGGTGGCGTCTTGGTAGGGTGATAGAGGATTCGGATTAAATTAAACTTACTTTTGACTCTGTCTACAAACTTCAGATGGAAGGCTGTAACATTATCAGATTTGGTGCACTGAAAACTTCAGATCAGCAGCAAACTGTCTTGTGAGTGTGAATCCTTCAGACTTTACTACCTCTGAGGTCAAGTGGTGTGAGGCCACAGACTGTATTCTAGCATTCAAGCTGAAAGGGAGATGGGTGTTCTGCAGATGCAGAGTTTGGCTAGGTGATGATATTTCATCTTGTGTGCATGAGGAGCCTGGGGGAAATGTGTTAAGAGGGCAGTTTGCATACCAAAGTCTTTAGCTGAAACAAAGGAGCAGAGGCAAGTTCTGTGTTTAGAGGGCAAGGAGATGTCTTTCTTCTCCCCACTGCCTGGAAATTAAAATTAGTTATTAATTATGATTATTCTGAGCTCCTCAAAGTAAAACACATCTCTTCAGGATGTTTCTTGGACTTGTGGGCACCACAGCATGTTGTTGGTTTGACAAGTATATTTCCACTATGCACTGTCCAACACCTTTGTGACTCAGCTGTTTTAACCCAATATACCAGTACTTATGTAATGAATGATACAATGTTCACAGAAGACATTGCTCAGCCAGTGGTAAGGTGTGAAATCAAAGGTTCCCAACAATATTTGAGCTGCTGTTTGCCTTTTGTCATAGAAAAGAACAACGAGAGGAATTGTGCATTTTCATGAAAAAGAAACTGAGACATGAGTCTGTAAAAAGGAAGCTGCTGCTCAGTGACACGTCACCAAAAAAACAACACTTGTCACATTATTTTGGCAGAAACAATGCTAATGTATTCAGTGTTAACAAGTATTCCATTAACCCATCATAGTGAGCTGCTGAATATAACACATACCCCTTTAATTTAAATGTGATAAGGGGTGCAGTCAGAATGAAAAGGTGTAGAATGAACTTGATCTTTACATGTGAACAGGATATAAAGATGTTCTTGAGCTTTTCATACACTGAAGCTGAGGAACTAGAGGACAAACATGTTTTCAGGTGGTAACAGACGGTGGAAGCAAAGGCAGCCAACAACAGACAGCCAAGCTTAAATGAGTTTCAGTAATGAGTGGTAGCCAGGTGACGCCATGTTTTTTGCTTTGCAACAAAACACTTCTGTCCCCGGTTTTAGTTCACAGATTCTGTAAGAAGTGATAAAATGTTCTGTTTGTTGCAAAACTAATGAAGATGTCCACTAGATACTTACGGGAAAAGGACATGGAAATGTACAAGGTTTATACTGTACATCATATTGTGCTACAAAACCAATAATAATACATTTTTGTTAACAGTTCTGAAGTGTCTATCTCTAACAAACAGTGTCACAGACAGTTTGTTATTATTTGGTAATTGTGTTTGTGTGCTGTTGGTGTGTGTGCTGTTGGTGTGTGCACTGCGCTTTTCACCAGCATGATGCTGTCATAATGGACGTTCTTGCCTGTAATAATGTACTAAATTGAGTGTAATGGCTTTCTCAGTGGCCTTGAATCAGTCTCTTCACTTAGACAGCAGTAAACTATACTGCGTTCTTCCTGTGGTTATACTTTCTAAGTACAACTCAGCAAAACAGAGCTGCACAAGAGAATGTAAAAGTTGAGAACATGTACATAATACGCTGTATTTGCAGACAAAATAGTTAGTAGAAAGTATAATGTTATGGAGGGAAAATGTTATGTGTTATCAGACACTTGCCATCTGCAAATAAAAGATGCCAAGGTGTCATTACTTATAAATGACTCAATGGTAAGCACTTAACTTAATGGATTTAATTTCCAGAGAGCCTTCTCTGTGTGTAGTTCTTAATTTTAGATTATATGATCTTCAGCATAACTTGTACATTTCTCTTTGGAAATTTCTCAGTCCGTGATGGAGATTATGTACCAGCCATTTTAGTCCACATGCTGCTGACCAGGCACAGTGGTGCCTGCATAAGTTGTGCATTTATATACAAAACTGTTTTATCCCCCGCCCCTTACATGTGTGGAACAGAAGACAGACGCACGTTTTGGGTGGGATGTGTGATGTGCGATGTATGCGCCAGACGAACTACATCTCCCTAAAGGCCAGTGGATGAAGCTGGCGACGTGGCTGAGGTCCGCCTTCTTCGTCTTAACCCCGTGCTTCAACGGACCGGGGTGATTCAAACGAGGCAAACCGGCTTTGTTAATTATAGCTACTCTAAAGAGTAGTTAGATGCTTGGACACGTCTCATCGGAAGTTTGATATCACTGTGCAACAATGTCTGGGAAAATTAAGAACCGAAGTGCGGCAAACGCAGACTTGTTAACTGGCGGCGTGTCCTGTGATGAACGGATCCTGAAGGACTGTCATCAATTGTACACGGACTCCAATAGTGGTGAGTTGGCTGTCGTCTGATTTACTGGAGTCATACCCTTCCCGGACATCACTCTAACAATCACTTATTTACTGCTAAAACTAGAAAGCCGTTTGCTGACCGGGGCTTCTCTAGCTGCCTTAGTAAAGTAACGTTACCGCTTATGATGGTGGGGGCTAACGGTTAGCTAGCAAGGGGTTTTGTAGTTTGGCTTTGTTAGCTGACGTTAATGCTAACTAGTTAAACTACATCTCCATTGATGCCTTCGTTAAATCACTAGTTAATGGTGAGTCAGCTATGCAGTAGGGTGGAGCAGCTTTTTCTGTAATGTGGTTCTTAATGTATTGAGTTATGGTGTAGTTTGATTACGGTCAAATCAGCCGCCGTTCAGTTTTCCAGAATGGTACAGTAGAAATGTTTGATTCTTTGTGTGGTAACAGTGCGGGTCATGTAGAATTTAGAAATGATGTCCTTATGCTGTAAATATTAAAAAGGTGTTTTTATTAAACTTGAAAGTTCATAAACAATACAGCATTGGAGTTAAGGTATTTTATTTTGAAAATCGCGAGCTTTGGCCCGTTTCAATACCTTTACCGTAAATGTAAGTATATAGAGTAAATAGGCGCACTTCAAATTCTACAAATTCTAGCGCGGCTTGTTTGACCACGGAAAACTGAACGGCGGCTGATTTGACCGCAGTTGTAGTTTGGGAGTTTACAAGCAACAGTTCAGCCAAAGGCGTCTCTAGGAATTCTGGGAGCCCATAACACGGATGAAGTAACGTTACTTTACATCAGTTTTTGGCATTTTGGCCAAAAAACGACTAAGCCTAATTAATCAATTAATTGATTAGCTGGTAGATATAAAATTTAATTGGCAAATAATGAATTCTTTCAGTGATACTAAGCAAAATACCAAACATTTGCAGGTTCAATCTTAATTTTGAGGATTCACTGCTTTTCTTTGTCATATACATTTCTTTGGGTTTTGGATTGTTGCTCAGATAAATTAAGCAATCTGAGTACATCACTTTGCAGAGTTGTGATGGCTGTTTTTCACTATTTTTTGATGTGTGATAAACTAAAATACTTGATTGTTTGAGTAAATAAACAGCAAATGAATGAATTGTTTGCAGCCCTATTCATATCCTCTGTTCTGTTCAGGGTTGATCACATTGGCAGAGTCTGTTGGTGTGACATTGCTGCCTCCAAGGAAAAAGATCACCGTGATGCTGATGGGTAACCACTCAGCTGGGAAAAGCTCCTTCATCAACTGGTAAACATATTCTATAGGAGCCCCCAGGGATTTAACAACGCTCAAACTACATAAGAAACATTCTACTGATTCTGCAGAATAGTAAACAGAATAATATAGTTTGAACTTATTTATTTTGGACACTAGGTGAAACAGATGTTTTACTCATTCATTCTATTATAAATTGTTTAATAGAATTCCTTTTTTTTCTTCAGGTATGTGGAAGAGCATGTCCAGCGCACTGGAGTGGCTATTGAGACCCAAGGCTTTAGCTTTGTTACAAGTGGACGCAAGAGAGAATCTCTCACAGTCAGTGCAACACTACAAATTTAAACCATTTTCATTTTAAGCTGTAATATAATCATTCATTTTCCTTTTTAAGTTACTTCCCTTTATAGTGGCTTATTACACAAACTTATAATGGCTTCAAAAAGTCAGATGTATAAAAGAAATGCAGACATCTTTTTTCCACATTATAAAAACTAAAATGCATTCATTTAAACAATACTTTTGCAATATTTCTATGTGGTAATTATTAAACAAAACAATACTTTTCAAGAATAGAGGTTTTATAATAATGTGCAATAGGTCTTTACAGTATTAACAAAAACACTAAAATTTCTGACTGATCTGGTTCTGGTATTTCTTTAGGGAAATGCCACCCTTCATCTATATCCACATTTCAAGCCTCTTCAAGAGTTCAAAGGTGAGATTTGTAAGATTGAATTACAGTCACATTCTGAGTTTTTCTTTTTCATAAATGGACAGATACAGTGCATCAGTGTGATTGCACCCTTACTATAATTAATAGTTAAATTGTAAATATCTGCCACCTCACCTGTTTTTCTACTCTTCCTCATTTGATTTCCAGGAGTTTCTGAGTACTTGAGCACAGAGATCTGCACGTCACGGCAGAAACGGTTCAGCCTGGTGACATTTGTGGATTCACCAGGATTGGTTGATGGTGATATGAAGTATCCTTTTGACGTGGACGAGGTTATCCTGTGGCTAGGTGCGTGACTGTTGCTGTACTGTGGTGCCTGGTGTTGTGACACTGATGTTATGGTATTCATATTCTTTAAATGGTGCAAGATAAGACAAGCAGCTTAGTTTTTTAAATCTGACACCAATGTGAAACGCCAGCTTCAGGAGGTACAGAGCCATACGTAGTTTGTTAGCTCCACACTGAGCTAAAGCTAACATGAAAATTGAAATTACTACAATTACAAGCTGATTTTGATTGGCACAAAACAAAATGTTGACGGCTCAGATTTTATCATCTTTCTGTGGAATCTGTTGTCACAGTGTGATTATTTTGACGAGATACTGAATAAGAAGCAAGAACAATTTGGAAGAACTTGACAAAATGCTGCAGGAAAGTTACAAAGCTCAGTTACTCAGGAAATGTTGCTGTTATATGAGACTTCTGTTTCCATGTGGTTTAATCCAGTAAGGATTAATTATGACATTTGGTAAAGAGGTTCAAACTGCTGTATAAAATAATGGGCCTTCCCAATGTCTCCCTCAGGTGAGCTCTGTGACCTAATTCTAGTCTTCTTTGACCCCATGGGTCAGGCTCTGTGCAAGCGGACACTCAACATTGTGGAGAGACTAAATGAGACACACTCGGACCGGCTGCATTTTTACCTGAGCAAGGCGGACGAGGCTGGAGGAGAGTCAGACAGACAGGTGTGTTCAGAGCAGCTCAGATTAAAAGTTTGTGTTTTGGGATATAGCGTTTTTTTTTAAAAGTACATAGGTAGATTCACTACTGTCAAATCAAGTCCTTTCTAACAGCATTATTAGACGTATTGAGAAACAGGAAATGACATCCTCACTCTCTCCCCCTTGGCTTATTTATTTTTGTGCCCTGCTGACATAGAGAGTAATGATGCAGATTGTACAGGAGCTCTGCAAGAGACCGGGACTCAACAAGTGTGGTTTTGACATGCCTACCATCTACATTCCTAATTCAAATAAGGTAAGAATTACACTTTGATTGAGTTAATAGGGACTTACTGGCTTTTTAGGCTCATACCTATTCTCCCTGAAATACCTTTTGAACATTGTAATACAAACTCCCAGCTGAGGGTATGTTGTAATTTTTTCCTGTATCCTTGTTCTCAGGCAAGTCGCTGTGTCAACCAGATTGAGGAGGTGTGTCGCACCATTGAGAGAACTATCAACCAGACAGTCCAGAATACACTGAACTCCCTGGAGAAAGACTGTGAGCTCATCAGTGAGGCCATCGCTGATACACTCAACGACGACAGGTAAAACACACACACACACACACAGATTGTTTTATTGTCTCCCAGTCATTCCAACAGTAAGTGTGGTCCAGTGGCAGCACCATCTTAAAAGAAAAACCTTATCCTTCTGCTCTCACAGGCAGGCCAGTGTACAGAACCGACGGGCACGATGCAAGAGCTGCTTCCTGGCACTGCTGGGCTTCAGCATCCCAATGGCTCTGATGGCCTTACTGGTGCTGGGTGCTCTGTCCAAGGAGCTGCTGGAGATGGCTCTGGGCCGCCATGGTACAGAGACGCTCTCACTCTACATGGTGAGTTTCCACGTGAGTGCACAGTTCACCAAGAATCTTTTAAGCTGTCAGGTCTAATTCTAGCTGCTTTTACAATCTACAGACTCCCATAGTGAGACTATTCGACTCCCTGTCTGCGACACAGCAGCTTTATGGCTGTTGTGGACTGGTACTTCTCTCTTTCCTCCTGCTCATCATTGCACACTTTTCCTTCAGGTAGGGGAGTTAAGCTTTTGGTTTGAGATAACACAGAGTCCATTACTTTAGACCTAGTTTGACATTTCTGTACTGACGTTTCTTGTTGCCCTATTGGTCATCAGATAAAATACACAAACCATTAAGACTGTATACACACCCGTGTATAGTATCTTGTATCTCATGCTTCTTACTGAAAATATAATTTTTTTTGACTTATAAAAAAATTAGTTTTTTTTCCTGCAGCTGCGTTCCTTTCATTTGCCCTCGTGGGAACAAGAATGATAATCCCAACTTATTTTGTCAAAAGAAAGCACAAGCAGTAGGTTGGAATTTCCCTTTTAGGCAGCTGCATGTGATTATGGCTCCCCGTGGATTTGCAGCACAGCTCTTTACAAAGGAGAAAAAAGAAACTTCCAGCTTTTCAACTTCAGCATCCACTGTATGTCAGTAACAAATTTCTTCAAATTCTTGGACTTTGAGGTGTTTCCCGTCACTTGTTTGTAGGACTCGACCCACTCTGTCAGGAAAACAGAAAAGGCAGCTGCAGGAGAAGCTGGAGTATGTTCAGGAGGTGGTCAAGACCAAAAAGGTATAGTAGTGCGTGTGTGTGTGTGTGATACTGACTCTGACGTGTTGCTGTATTAGAGGATGTTTAGCTGTATTCTTTCCCTTTAGAAAAAGCTATATGAAGAATACCTTCGGCAGAGTGTCAGCGATCACGACATGGACTTGTAAAGAAAGATGAGACATTCACAAAAGACGCGGTTCTCCCACAGTGACATCGGACCAAATGAAATCATATCTTTACCAAGGTTTCACACCGTTTTACACGCCCCTCTTAACCACTCCATGCTCCATTTTTATTTAAGGTCACACATGAAAGTTACACTTACAAGCAAATGATACTCTTGTACAAACCTATTCCAGTTCTGGTGCTTTGAATACTCTAAAGCCTGTTAGACGATACCTCTGCAGTTTAACACGGCTCTGTCTCTTGGCTGAGCTTTTGTTACTGATCACTTATTTGTTGTGAGCATTTATATACATGTATTCTGTGCCTGTGTTCCACTCCGAGGCGTTCAGGCTTATACCACTTAAAGATACAGTATTTATATGAGTTTATCAGAGAAACTGTGCTTTGATAAAGTGACACATAGCACTGGTTTACGAGACTCGTTTTGTATGAGGTGCTGTGTTTGAAGACTGTCATCAGCATTTTACACAGTACTTTGGCTGCTTGGTATCATGAAGTCACAAATATTAATATACAACTTCACATGAGTATTTGTTTAATACATAGAATATTCAATTATCTGCACAACTCCTGTTGTTGAAGTAAATGATGCTAGTAACCCGACACTTTATCAGTGACCAATTCAGCTTGTAATTTTGTGTTACGCATTGTAATCATGTTTTAATTACTGTTGATGAAATAAAAACAAATTTGCACTTGAGCTTTTTGGAATAAGACATCTTCAGTATTTTGATCCACCAGTGGTTTGCACTTGAGCTTTTTGGAATAAGACGTCTTCAGTATTTTGATCCACCAGTGCTCTGCCTCTTCTTTTATTTTAAGATTTTGATTAAAGAGTTAGATTAAATTAACTGTGTGTGTTTTTGGGAAAGAATACCCTTTCTCTTTCTTTCTCTTGTATACATCTTGGTCCTGCCACGTAAGAGGTGAGGAGAGAGGAATTGAGGAAACGCATTTTTAGAGACATGAGACTCCTGGATCCTTGCTCCTCAGAGCAGGGCATCTTTGATCATATAAGAGACCTGGGGTTTACCCCATGACACACATCGCTCCTTGATCCTCACTTGACACAAAAGGAATGTCCCAAGACATACTGCTTTGAGGACCGAGGAGCCATGACCAAGGATACAAGAGGGCATCAAAGTGTTTTATAGACTGATAGGCCCCTTTGTCAGAAATCAGTTCAGAGGAAAGGTTGATGGAAAAGATGTCTTGTGTTTAAAAGTATGTTTCCTTCATTGGTCTTTCCTCACATTTGTTTCTTGCTTCTTGTCCTCACATCTTATGCGGGCAGGACTACGATACAAGAAAAAAATTAAGTGAGGGAAATGTGGATGCATAAGAGACTTGGGATGAGCCCCATGTGCTCTATTCTCATATTCCTTCACTTGTACTCTGCCTCACAGTTGAGTATTAATGACTGAGTCAGTGGAGGGATGCAATTCTTTCTAGTTTTCAGATTTAAAAGAAAATCAAAGAGAGACATGAGGGGTAAACACTGGAATGTTGAGTCAGATCAGTTCTATGTATATATCCACTTTTTGTGAAAGCATGTAGATGTAGGAAGTCTGCTCTAATAACAGATTTGTTCTGTGGTACCAGTTCAAGTGGCTCATCGGCTTGGTGAGAAAAGCTTATTCAAGTTTTGTCCTGTTTTATTGAAAACCAAACATACCTTTGACAAGCAAGTTAATATAAAGGTTGATTTTTAACATCTCAGACTTTTTATGAAAGGAAAATATATTAAATTTATTCATAATTTAGAATAGAGCTTTATTAAAACTTTATCATGCACTTGCATTACATGATTATATAACCTTTCCTCTAAGAAGGTCAGCGGTTCAAGTCATATCAGCATGAAAAGTGACATCAGAGAGAACAGAATGTAGGTGAGGACAAAGGCTGAAAACAGCCACAGGTGATTTTGTATATGTAACCTAGGTCTATATCCAAGCAAAGTGATGTCTGTAGATTTTGCTTTTGTGTTTCATTTCTTTTTTTGAAATTTAGGATTGGACAGAGCCTTAACTTTAGGTGGTATAAAGCTCAAGAACCCATCAATAGATTCATCTTCCAGCAAAGAGCTCAGTATTTTTGCAGCATTTTTCAGATTTATTTTGTTTGTTTGTTCCTTGTTTTATGAAAAGGGGTTTCAGGAGATATTTATATTTCATATAATACCGTCAATGTTGAAAGTAGTAATAACAGAGTGCATTAGGGATCAATCTGAGAAAAAACAACACTTTATATTGTATTTAGGTTTCTCAAGACTATTAAAATTAACACCTTGCCTAATACTGCCAGTATTCCTGAACCAAACTGTATTCTTATTTAAATGAAAAATATAGTTTTAACACATCCATATTGTTCTTATTATAATGGCCTATGCTAAAGATAATTGTAAACACTTGTTTATGTTTATTATTAGATTAGCTTTTTGTAACCTTTCTGCCATGTTTTATATATAATATATATATTTATGTATTTTTCAGTGACCTCCGGGTGTCACCAGCCACTGGACATGACTGGATATGGGTGTAGCGGTTATTAAAAGCAAACCTTAATATTTAAGTACCATTAAAACCAGTCAAATTAAACGCAGACCTCAACTTATGGCAAACAGGGAAAGGCATGTCAGCACAGGAAGGAGGTTGACGTGATTTCCGCAGGCTTTGGACCGGGGAAAGTTGTTTCCTGAAGTTGTCACTGTAGATCATTTTCCACCCCGAAGTCTTGCTACATGTGTGACATGATGTGGACAGGTGTGTCTGATATCTGATCCATACTCAGAGCTGTTTGCCACGGAGAAGATGAGCTCCGTGCAAGAAGACACAGGTAACTGAAAACAGCAGCGTTTAACCTACTGGACGCTTACGTGGATTGGCTGTGAGGGGGCACAGGATCTTTACAACTTGCATTTCAGTTAGCTGTTAAATAGCAGCGAGGACGCGTAGCTTGTCTTCAGTGTGCGCGAGACCTGTTGATGTTAAAGCACCGCCGGGAAACTAAGTTAACGGCCCGTTAGCATCGTCGACCAGAGTGACTAGCCACCGGCTAACACACCAGCTTCTTTACTAACTGGGGTCTCTGTAAAGCCACCTTAAAAAGGTCGACTGATAACGGAATAAAGCGAGTTTTAACGCAGTTCAACTTTCATTTAACTCTGAATACAGTGACTCATCGCCAGAGCTCAGTTTCACTTCTTTTCGTGCAGTTATCCTAGCTCCGCGGTTGACTGCTAATGTTCCTTCAAATGTCATATAACACAATGTGTCTTCAAATATTTAAACAAGTGTTGTGGAGGTGCGTAGTACTTTTCTTACAGTAATGCAGTAAAACAATGCTAAAATGCCTCAAGTAAAAGTATCAATGTAAATACTTAAAAAAAGCAAAAGTACTCAAGCTATTATTGGGTTGTTACCAGAGTTGGAAAATAACTTAAATACATCTATTAAGCACAGTTTCGAGGCGTCAGTGCTAATTTTTTTTACTACTGTCTCATACTTCACTGCATCTACTTCTTCAGTTTCACTACAATTTAGAGGTAAATGTTGTACTGTGTTATTTGATTTACTCAGTCTGATTAGTTCAACAAAGTACAGTACAATCATTAGATTTTATTGATCCCTGGTGGAAAGTTCACAAGCTACACAGCAGTAATGTAAATGATATGTGAGGCAGTTACCATTAGCTCCACCGTTACCTGGTATAACATTAAATGTGATGTTATACACAATAATACAATAATGCATCAATAATTATAATCCAATAACATGATATACATTCATGTGAAATGTGGCATTCTGCATGGTGAGCACTTTTACGTTTGGCACTTATTATATTTCAGTACTAATCTTTTGTACTTCTACTCAAGTAAAGAATCTGAGTACTATTTTTCCACAACTAAATTATTTTTTTATGTAAGCAACATGGAAATAGTTTATGTACAGTTTGGTGGTTTAAACTCAAATGTGGCGTGATACCGACGAGTGAGAAATAAAAGGAATAACCTGAATAAATGGGTGGTTTCTTCCACAGTGACAGTGCCCCCATCCATAGGACACAAGGGGTCACTGGATGGTTTGAGTATGAAAATGATATGAAGTATGAGTATCTTTTGGAAGAAAGGTGTTGATCCCCCCCGACAGAGTTCAGAGACTTGGAGAGTCGATGCCAAGGGGCACCGAAGCTGTTCTGGTGGCTCAACACCTTATTGAGACACTTTATTATGTCTTCTGTTATTTTTGTCACCCATCTATATGTTAACCAGTAAAGTACAAGTATCATAAGTGTACTTTGTTCCATTTATCTTCTGTTTTTAAATATGCTTTTTGAGATACTAGCCTGTTGCATGTGGTGTTTGTAATAGTGTAGCAAGTTTGGGTCTCCTTGCATGAAAGTTGGAGCAACAGGTGTTTGCTGTGAAGTTGGCAAGTAGAAAAAGACAGCTATCTGGAGTCTGTACAAAAAATGGCAGCAGCTTTGACGCTTCAAAATACTCACTTTCCACAATAGTCGCAGCCAACTTGTACATTTGAGAGTGCAAAACACAAACATTTCAATGGCACCGGTTTATGTAATCGGCATCATTCAAGTCAGTGCCAACCATTCTCAGAGTATGACTTCTCAAATGTAAGGATCTGCTGCTTTCCTCTTGTTGTTTTTATAATTGTAGCTTTAGGTTTTGGGTTGTTGGCCAGAATAAACCTGCTAATTGAAGATGTCACTTTAGGGCATCTTCTGGGAAACTACAACAGCCATTTTTCACTCTTCTGTGATATTTAATAGGCTGAACAGTAAGTCAGTTAGTTAAAATAAAATAATCAATAATAAAACCAGTCACTAGTTGCAACCCTAGTATAGATCAGCAATAATGTATCATTTTATATGTTAATAAGGTTCAATCTCATTATCAGTTTCAGTCAACCTATGTATAGTATTTAAAAGATTGTTTGCCATAGTCACAGTTTCACTGCATGAAGCAGGATGAGACAAACATGCTTTGTAGTTTTACAAAGCTAAAATGATATCATCATCCTGTGCAGATAAATGTTAATTGGTGCCATCAGATGATCTTATTGTTGGGTATTTCCAGGACTTGTCTGCTAGAAACACAAATTCCCTTTCAGCTCAGTTTGCCATATTTATGTGACTCCATCTCTTCTGATGCAAAAGCCTTCAAAACAACACAATAAAGGTACAATACAGCAGTCTGTTCTTGACAGAGGAGAGCCTGGAAGCCCTGCTGGCTGATTGCAGAGCTCAGGTCGAGCATTGGCAGGGTGTGGCGACAATCTGTGAGCTGAGCAAACAGGAGGAACTGGCAGAGCTGCAAAAACAATGCGATCAGGAGATCCAGTCTTTACAGGAGGCTCTCAGAGGTCAGTCTGTGTGTATGTGTTTGCCTGTGGTTGTGTGGTAAGGTTGGTGGGTCTGTGACAGTCCTTGAGTGCACATGATGTACAAACTGTATCGTTCATCTGACTGAAGATGGTTTCATCACTGGGTTTTCAGAGACAGCAGCACAGTATGAGGCCAGGATAGCTGTTCTTCAGTCTCAGCCTGTGCAGTGGAGGAGAGCCAGTACACCGAGTCTGGTCAGTGTTTAATTGTTTTTTTTTTTTTTTTTTTTCTTCTTCCAAAACTGCAAGGGTCCTGCACTCAGTCCTGCCATTTGTTTTTCTCCACTTCTTAGATCAGTGGTAGAAAAGGCAGGATGAATGCAGAAGTCTCCGGTAAAGATTCCCAGACATCGATCACCAACAACCTGACAGAGGTAGAGGCGGCGGAATCAGCAGACAGGACGCACAGCCAGTCAGCCGAGCCTGAGGCAGTGGCAGAGGGAGAAGGGGGTCCACTTCCGACAGAAGGATATTTTTCATTGCGGAACTGTGACTCGGCCTCGTTGTCCTCCTTCTCCTTAGACACGCCCTCCCTGCCCAGAAAACCTCATGCTCAAGATGACACGGACTCACTGGTGTCCACAGGAACTTTGGTGCCTGAGGCCATTTACCTGCCGCCAGCTGGACACCGGCTGGTCACACATAATGACTGGGATGCACTCAATGCTCAGGTTTGGACTGATTTGTTGTCCTCTTTATAAGATTTACATAAAATCCACTTACAGAAATGTAGTTTCAAGCTAAGTCTGTTTCTGAAGGAAAAACATTTGTCACATTTTTGGGATAACTGATGAGTTCTTCACAACATTCTCAACAACCAGAATCACTGTATAGCAGTACAACATTCTTCCTCCCCAGTCTCTGCACCTTTAGTTTGAAGGTCATCAGGAGCTTCTTTGTGTATAAACAATTTTGCTGTGCAATGAGGGTGTGGGGTGTTGTTTTGCAGGTGTCAGAACTGCAAGGGCAGGTGAGTCGGCTGCAGGCTGAGAAGGAGGAGCTGGAGAAAGAATTAGACACACAGACCAACCGCACACACAAACAGGTGAGCCACACTCCTTTGGCCGTGGGTATACGCTTGAGAGTGAGTTGCCCTCATACAATAACCGTTTTGATTCATACTGTGCAGAGGACTTGAAAGTCAATACATAGGCTTCTTAAAAAGCTCATTTTGCTCATTTCTAGCCATTGTTTAATCTTGGGTACCTCTAGATTAGCTTTGCACCCCTCATAACTCCAAATAGTCTGTAATTCTTTCAGAATGATAAAACCAAAGATCCTGCTCCTGAAAACGAGAGGATAGTTTGTGAAATATAACATTTTGCAAATGTGGTGGGGGCACCGGTGGATATCAGGCAAGCTCACATGAATGTGCAACAGCCTGGGTTTTATGACCATTCAAGGAAATCCTTAAACTATCACGTATACCATGCTTTACATTGTTAGAACAAAGAAAGTCACACGAGCGAGAGTTTGCGAGATGTGTATAAACTGAGTTGCTTCTGCATAGAAATACTAGAACATACGTACACCTAGTATTTATTTATTTTTTTAACTTTAGGTCACGTCTAAGATGATAATTCACTGTTGTAACAATGTAGATAAGTCAGAAAACAAGGAAAAGCATGCCATGGACCCTTTAAGAGGCTTTAATTTATAAAAAGCCTACTGGCCTCAGGGACTAGGAAAGGTTATATGAAATGAGATGTTTCAAATTAAAACACAAAATAAAATAGGATGAATATATATTATCATCTTCAGCCAGCACCCCTACTTCCTGCAGTTATGCAGTGTGCACACAGGGTGAACAGGTCACCTTGCAGAGTGGACAGGCACAGACCTGTACAGTTAATGTGTTGCTGTGTTTGTTCAGGTAACAATGCTCCAGTCTCAGGTGCAGACTTCAGAGGCCCTCCTCCAGGATTTGCAGAAATCTTTTAGCCAATCACAGAATGCCGTCCAGAGTCGGCTGGTAAGTGACATGATGTTGATCCTACAGGGTGTGTGAGTGTGCCAGGGATTTAGGTTTCCCTAAAATGAATAGTTAGACTTTTTGGGAGATACAAGCTAATTAACAAATTATAGATTAAACAAATGAGATCTGTAGAGGTAGAAGCGCTGGCTGGTGGATTTTCTTTACTCAGAGCCAGACTAACTGCTTTTCTCTTTTAATACTAATCTAAGATAACAGGCTTCTGGCTCCAGCCACATATTTACTGTATAAACATGAGGGTGGAAAAGAAAGCAAATGATTGCCTTTCCCAAAATGTTGAACTATTCCTTTACATTTTGGCACAAGTAGCTTTTTTTCAGTTACCTTGATTAAAATGGAAAGATGCCAAGAGCAGAAATTAAGCGGTAGCTCTATAACAGTGTTGGTGCCACAAATATGTAACGTGCACACTCATCCAGCACACACTGATTAAACCAGCAGGAGTCATGTAACTCCCAGAAAGGTTTCTAAAATGACCCATAAGATATTTGTGTGCTCATATACAATTTATTATGGCCTTGCTCAGCAGGAGCAGGTATTCATATTTGCATGTTTGTGTGCAGGCAGAGTTGTCTCTTTCTCAGAGGCAGGTGTGCAACGAGCTGTCGAGACTGAAAGGGGACGAGGTGGAGAATGAGGTACCAGACTCCTGCTCCACATTCCCAGCAACACTGCAGGTACTCTTACTGTCTTCAGTTTTCATTTACAGTATATATGGCCTGTGAATGCTACAGTGAAGGAAAACCCAGTCAGTATTCATTTTCTCAAGACTTGTATATAGATGGATTGTAGCAGAAGTGAATTGTTTTATTCCGTTATGTGCATTTTGTTGACAACAGTAGTTTCACCAAGCGTTGTAAAAGGGAAGAGAAACCATTGAAAAGCTTGTTCATGTCTATTTAGAGGTGACTTCCTCTTAGTTTAGTGCAGGACATTGTCTTGGGATGAGTGGAGATTATTTAAGACTTCACATGCCTCAAGATGAAATTGTTTTGTGTGGACTAACATTGTAACAGTTGTCATCTGTTGGCACTTTAATTTGAAATGTCTTTCAGTACACGTGTCAGATAGTCCTGCACTTGACAGCTTTAATAAGTGATAATGGTACAATCTGCTATATCAGGCCGTCACTGTACTGTATGTGTTTCCTGTTCATCATTGTGTGTGTTCAGAGTCAGAATGGTCTTTAATAGCCAAGTATGTTTGAACATACAAGGAGTGCGACTCTGGTAGAGGCTCTCAATGTGTTTGTAGGCACCAGGGAATAGAAAATAACAATGAAAACAAAAAAATAAAACATTTTAAAGAATGCATGCATTCAGATAGGAATATGTGCAATCAGAAATAGGATACAAATGCAAGAAAAAGACGATATTTATATATACATATACAGTGTTTCCCACTTTGTTTTTTTTGGGGGGCCCCGCCACAACATCAACATTGACTGGCACATATTGATTTAAAATAGGTTAAATCGTATATCAGTGTAGTGCAGAGCAGCGATAGCTAATGAGGAAGATGTAGGAGGAGAGAAGCGGCCAACATGATGCTGCTGTGGGAGAGCTATTTCAGAAGGGACAGGTCAGATGAACAGCACTATAGCTTTGCTAGGTTTAATTAAAAAAAAAAAAAAAAAGAAAGCATGACAATCCCCCACATCCCAACCCCCATGCTACTGCCGCAATTTGAATATAATTCTGTGGGAAACGCTGATATATGTACATTATGGCAGAGGAGCTTTCAGATTGATATACATGACATGACATGACATTCACTGTTGCACTGTGATCTGCAGGGGGCGCACTCTGAGGAGCGCCTTCGCATTGAGATTGTCAACCTGAGGGAGCAGCTGGGTACTCGGACAGAGGAGAACGGTCTGTTACTGTACTATTGTTTATGTAGTTTTCCTATAGTGATGTATATCTTGACTGAGACGCTTTTTATTTTTCCCTTTCTCACCTCCTGGCTCCTACACTGCATCTACTGCCATCAGAGATTTTAGAAGGTGAGTGACACATCAGTGCTTTATCATTAGTCTGTTAAACCAGTTAGTAGGACTTGTGATTGCTGTGTCTATGTTCATTCAGGTTTATTTCTCCTTTAATCCCTGTGTGCTCTTTGGTAAGAACAGTTATTTTACAATGGGTGAGAAAACAAGACCAAACTTGTAATAAACTGGAAGTTTTTTCTTCTGTTGATGATTCAGTGATCGATCGATCTAGCATGAACCAAATGCAGCCTGGTTTGTGATTGTGTCTGCAGTGCAGTTTTGCAGTCTGAAGACGGAGACGGAGAGGATCCAGGCTCAGAAAGACCAGTTACAGGCTGAGCTGCTTGCCTGCCGCGCTGAACTTGAAGCCCTGCGGGTGGCACTCTCTCATGTACAGAGCACCAACAAGACCCTGACCAATGACAAAGTAAATCCAGCCTGCCCTTAGCACTGTACTTGGGTTTTCTCTGCGATTGCCTGTTCATAGTTGGGTTGAGTGTGTGGTCTGATGCTGGTGTGGTCTAAGATGAGCTCTCTCTAAACTGGCATGATTTGGCCAAAATGTTAATCCTGATTATTTAACATTTTTCTTATGTTATTTAGTATATTGACAAAAGATTTGTACGTTTCTCCATGAAAACTGAGCAGCTGCATGCAGTGAGGAAGGCCAGGAGATGTGGTTGAAATCTTTGACAATTTTCTTTTTTCAAAGTCAAGAATGAACCTTCAGTTGTTAATTCGGATTATTTCAGTCTTAGGAAATAGTTGATTAAATTAATTACACATATAAAAAAAAGATAATCAGGTATATTGGCCAAGTATGTTGCACATACAAGGACTTTGTCTCTTTTACAGAACCGAGACAAATTGGGTTGGGGGACGACCGTTTTACCTCCTGAGCAACAGCTGCCCCATAATTAACTGCTTATTTTAATTTTTCCCTAACTTCTGAGTTATGTAAGGGGAGCCTACTTTATACAGTATTTAAATAATGACAAAACTGAGCTCAATCACATCTCATGCTGGGTAACACAATGACAATATTGAAATGAGACTCAACTTTAGATCATGAAATAGTGTAAAAAGAGTGCCTGTTAGCCTTTGTAATATACTAACAATATGGGTAATCAAATGTCACACGAATGTTTTCTGTCAGGCATCACTGAAGCAGCAGTGTCTGGAGCTGCGAAGCCAAGCGATCAGCATGCGCTCCCAGGTTGAGACCAGCCAGACCGTACAGAGGGACTTTGTCCAGCTCTCCCAGTCGCTACAGGTAGGAGTCAGAGGACAACAGTAAGCTTGAGTGGAGGGGTTGCTTAAAAATCTTGATTTTACAGGTGCAATGTGAGATTTAGTGACCTCTAGTGGTGAGCTTGCAGATTGCAATGTTCAATCCTCCATTTCTTCAAGTTATAGTCCTTAAACTCACGACAGTGCTTCCTCTTGTTTCTAATGTTACTACTACTTTGTCTTCCGTGCCTCTCCAGATCAGTATTCCAAATCTAAGCTGCTACTTCAATGTGGAAACGCAAAATTCACACTGCAGAGCCAGTGTGTTTGTCCATTGTGGGTGCACCAATTAAAAAATGGGGAAAACTATGATCAATTGCAGAAACTGATGAACGCGTTCTTTGAGTTGCTCCACCCAGATTATTACATTGTACTTTTATATCAGTGAAAAATAAAAACTTGTATGATAATTAACCCCCTGTCTTTCTTCAGGTGAAGCTGGAGTTGGTTCGGCAGGCCAAGAGTCTGGAACAAGTCAAGGAGATCCTGGAGGAGGAAAGGAGTAAAGCTGCTTCATCGCGCGAGGAGGCGTCGCCATGAGTTTTAGTAAGTCACACTGGAACCAAAGACAAGATGAACCATCCCAAGGACCAACGAATGAACACTGTGGTAGAGTGATCACTGGGAATATCACAGCTGGTGCTCTTAGTGCTGTGACACTGGAGACATTCCTCAGCAGAGACGTTTTGTTTTGGAGATGACAGCTTGGTGTCACTGACCACACTGATCTCTGATGAACCAGTTTTCTTACACTCCTTTTCTTACATCTGGTAGCATTTTTATTTCTTCACTAAAACACATGTATTCTATTTATAAAACTGGCATGCCTTCAGCAAAACACTCAACATTGCAACACTTTATTTTGCACCATGTCAGTGATTAATATGCAAACTACATGATCATTTTCCCATGCAAACGTTTTATTTGCATCTTCTTTGAGTTCTAAAAGCAATGGCTCACAGTGCAATAATGAAGTAATACAAAATACTCTTAACTATGTCAGATGTCATTTTTATTTTGTATTACTTTACAGTTTTTTCTTTTAGCGTAGTATTAACTATTCCAGATCTGAGTTTCACCACAACACCTTATAGATTTAAGCAAGTTTATGATAGTGGATTAGCAAAGAAGTAAAAATCAATGTTGTTTTTCCATTGTTTGTGATAACATGGTGAAAACTGTTACATATTATTCTTCAACCTTTGAGTTCATAATTAAATACTATGATAGTTTCTCAACCTTTGGCTCAGAACTCCATCCAGGGTTGCTTAATGTGTAAGCAGGGTCACTGTAAATTTCTAAGACTAGTAAACAACGATACACAGCATAATGGCCATAAAAGGTTGAAAAACCCTGAATAATCTAACACAGATGCCAAGAGTTAACTTCATATACACATAATACTCTAGTGTTTGACGTGTTCAGTTTTAATCATACAACAGTCAGAAATCACTCAACATTAATATATTTACAATTATTTGGCAGTGGACTAGCTAGATACAGAAGAGCTTCTGTTTGAGCAGATGTTTAATGTCAGTACCACAGGATTGCCACTGACCGTGTAACTAACCCTGTTAATGTCATGAGATTATACTAAACAGCTAATAACAAAACTGACATCCAACTTGGACAGTTTCTTTAATACATACCTTTATTCTTTAAGAATACAACCAACACAATAGTTACCTATATATTAATTTCAGTACATACACAAAAAAATATTTTGCAGCATTTTTTTTTTGGTGCATTTTCTATGGCAGCGTATTCCTGCAACCCTGATAAATGTTTTTCTTTATAACGAGATACTGTATTTTCTCATAATGATAACTTCAGTGAAATATAGTTTCAAATTTATGAAACATCTAATGTTACAACGCTCTAGAAAGGATCATATCACTTCTCCTCCCTTATGCGAGATGTCAGTGAGTAACAGCAGCACACAGACCAACTTTTCCTGCTGTCAGTAATGATTGTAACGTGATCAGGACATGTGCAGGGTATCGCGGCTCCCAAGCTGGTCACTGTGTGGAAGGCTGGTATGGGTGTTGATGAGAGAGCAGCTGCCAGAGGAGTGCTCCAGCCGGTGCTCTGCGTGATAGTGCACATTGGACTGGTGTTATGCCGAGTTCTGCCTGCCCCTTGCTGAAGCACCCCCTCCAGCAGCCTCTCTCTTACTCATCAACACATATAGCAACCGTGATGAACGTATGTGCTAGAGTATCCCATGTGGTGATGGCCCCTCATTCCCCTTTTATATGACTTTCCACACAGTGACCATTATTGGCTTGGGAGGTGCATTCCAGCTGGTCCTGGAGAATCACTGGTTCGACAGATAAACCCACAATATTTGTTTGGCGTTATAGCGAGAACATAGTGTAGTTACATTAAGTGAATACAGTATCTTGTCATAACAAGAAAAGTATGTCGTAAAAAAAGCATCACGTTTTAACGTGACAGTATCTTCTAAAAACTAGAAACGTTATTCGTTATAATGAGATACTGAACAAATCCTTTTTCTTCCTCAGGGTGGCAGCTACACACTGCTGTAATTTTCAGATTGAGCATGTGTTTTGTATTCATGTCACCTGACGGTTTGATCACTAACTGTTGGCAGGCGCTCTCTTTCAGTGGAAGCGCTCAGCCTGTTCTCTCTATCCCCTGTGCTTCCATGCTCTCGCTGCTTCAGATGCTCTCTGTTGCACTTTGCCTCTAGACTTTACCTGCATAGGAAATCAGAAGATGTGTGCTGAGGTTAGGTAAATGTAAAAAGTTGACCATTTTGGGAAATGATGCTAATTTACTTTGTTGCCAAAAGTTAGATGAGAAGATGCCACTCTCATTTTCTGTCTGCTGAGAGGCCGGAGCCAGTTGATAAGGTTAGCACGACTAAAGAGTGATGTTATCATTCCAAATCCACCTCCAGCATCTCTAAAACTCAGCAATTAACAGATTATATTTGTTTAATCAGTGCAGAATCTAAAATTTGTTTTTCTTTTTGCTTGTAGGCAGTTTTTGTCACCTCTGAGCAAAGCTACTACGTTAGTTGTTCCCGTTTTCAGTCTTTATGCTAAGCTAAGATAGCCAGCGTCTGGCTTCAGATTTGTATTTTTACTGTGTAAAAATAAGCGGCATCAATCTTTTCACGCAAGTCTGAGAAAGCACATTTCACAAAATGATAAAGTATCATTATAGACTCATTTTTAGTCTGTTACAGTGGAGAAAAAATTGTTCCACAGTTTTAAAATTTGTAAGGCCTGTTTGAGGAAATAATCCATCAACATCTGGATTATGGTTTCTTTAATTTTGGCATAAAATGTGATCCAGTCTTCATATTAGTCACATGTATAGATGAACACAATGTGCTTAAGATAACAATTAGAATTTTTCATGCCTTTATTGAAGACACAAATTAAACATTCAAAGTGCTGTTAAAAATAAGTGAACTCTTGAATTTAATAACTCCTTTGTCAGCATTAACCTCAAACAAGTGTTCAGGAGGAATTCTGGACCATTCTTGATCACACCAGAATATGACTGGAATATGGCAGCTCTGTGACAGAGACCAGTTATAAAAGGGTTCACTAGCTTTTCCCCAACAGCACTGAATGTTTAACGGGTTTGTTCAACAAAAACATGAAACATAATTGTGTGGCATTAGCTTCAGCACATTATCTGTGTTTGTAACTTAGATTGGGTAACATTTTATGACTAAATTGTGTAGAAAACCAGGTAATTCCAAATGGGTTGCCACTGTAACTCAAACAAAAATGGCATTTAAGCTTCCACCAAAACACGTCTCTCCCACCCTCTTTCTTTTTATTCATCCTCTGTTTCTTCTGTTTTCCTCAATGACATTTATCTAATGTTCCTCTCTTTGATGCTCTTTTACCCCTGAAACAGAACAAGGTATTCCAGATTCATGCTAAAGGTTTAAGCACTCTGCGTATGCATGTCTTTAAAGTCTCCTGCTGGGTATTAAAGATGTTTAAGTTGGTCTGTCAAACAAACAACAACAAAAAAAAAGTCGTCGTCGTTTGTTCAGTGTTTTTGTTGTTTCTGTTCATTTAGCTTCTGGGAAGCTAAATGAGAGATTGTTCATTTAGCTTCTGGGAAGCTAAATGAGAGATGGCTTTGAGTCACTGAAGCTAGTGGAACACAGGCTAACGGACATGTCATGACGTCCTGTTCATTTAGCTTCTGGGAAGCTAAATGAGAGATGGCTTTGAGTCACTGAAGCTAGTGGAACACAGGCTAACGGACATGTCATGACTTCGGCTCTATATGCTCACATGTGTTTTGCAAGCATAGTATGTGTCTTTAATACATGAGGCCTCATGTCTCAAACATACTGACAAGGCAACAGCTGTTCCACTAATCTGATGTTTCTTACATCCTCTGAACATGGTAAACATGTGAGATGTTTAGCTTACCCTCCGGATATGTGCGAGCCACAAACTTGAGAAGCTCATCGAGCAGGATGACTGGGATAGAGAGCTTCAGCACCATCAGCCACTGCTCCACATTCAAGTGAGTGAGCTTGAAGATCAGCTGTGGACAAAAGCAGTGCTGTGTTAAAACTGCCAACTTTTTCTGCTCAGTCATTCAGACATATTAGATATGGAAAACATTTTGTGAATGTACATTGTAAATTTATAATGATGATCTAAAACGACTGAGCCCTCAGTTGACTGATATGAGCCCACTGCCTATGAAACGGTATTGATGTTACCAAACCTTCACATTTAACATGTACACGTAAGGTACTCCTTTTTAGTTCAGCTTTTAAATCTTTATGTTTAGGCTCAATCTTGTTATGCACATCACACTTTGGAAGTAAGCAACTAGTTTGCACTGAACAGAAAAATACCAATGCTTTAATTTGATTTGAACTTTACAAAGAACAGCCATGTGCTACTGGAAAACCTATAGCAAATGGGGAACCGGGGGAATTGGGTCAAGAAATAAATATCTGGAAAAATGTCACACGAAATCAGAGCAGCTGGTTTCACTGATAAATGCCACTTCTGTTAATAGGCAGGATAACAGAACGGCGTGTCTACAGTTGAAGTCAGAAGTTTACATAAACCTTAGCAAAACGCATGTAAACTCAGTTTTTCACAACTCCTGACATTTATTCCTATAAAAGTTCCCTGTCTTAGGGCAGTTAGTATCACTACTTAATTTAAGAACGTGAAATGTCAGAATAATGGTAGAGAAAAAGATTTATCAGCTTTTATTTCTTTCATCACCTCCCCAGTGGGTCAGATGTTTACCTACAGTCGGTTAGTATTTGGTAGCGTTGCCTTTAAATAGTTTAACTTGGGTCAAACACCTCAGGATGCCTTCCACAAGCTTCTTACAATAAATAGCTGGAATTTGTGTTGTGTGTTCGTCAGCTTGAAAGCCTCTCCCCTTTTCCTCCAGACATAACAATGGTCATTAAGGCCAAACAGTTCAGTTTTTGTTTCATCAGACCAGAGGACGTTTCTCTAACAAGTCAGACCTGACATCTTTTTAAACATTTTTGAACAACAGAGATCTATCACACAGACAAACAAGCTATTCCAGGACTGACAGTGGCCGAACATTGACCGCGAGTAGAGCATGTCACTGTCCGTCTCTGTAGGGAGATTGCTGAACATATTACTAATATTGAAAAGGACCAGCATTATCCTTTAAGCAATGAGAATTTGAGAGAATGTGGTGGTGTGGGATGAGTGGAAGGAGATGGATGTTTGATTTGGAGAAGAGGGCTGTGGTGCAGGAGGCCAGACTCACAGGCAGGGGGTCAAGGTAGATGATCATGAAGTGAAGGGACATGGAGAGGGTCATGGCGGCCACCAGCCAGCAATTGCTCCAGGGGGGCATGCGCACCAGGGACTGGTTCTCAGACAAGCTGGGGGGAGGGAAGAGAGCTACATTAATGAGTGAGGTAAATGGATGAAGATACATGTGTAAAGAAAAATAAATTGGAGATGTAGCAAATATGTCCTTGAATAGGTTTCTGTAAACATCTCAGTACAGTGTGGTTACATTCACACCCACATCTCTTGTTTAATGCCAGTATAATTTGAACTCCTTTGCACATTGATGTGTTTTAAACATGTTATTCACTCTGTGAATATCATAGGTTATCAGGATAATGCCTGTTATCCTGGTAGTTTTTTTTAAACAGGAAATTGCTGCAATTAAATGGTTATATCTGATGCAAAAATACACAAAGCATTTTAGGTAAAAGGCAAAATCAGTTGAGGAGGTATCTGGTTCCTTTAGAAGTAAAAGCAGCACTACAATAGCATAAAAATACTCAGTTACAAGAAAATGTACACTAGTAAAAGTTCTGTTTAAGTAAAAGTGTTATGGTATTATTAGCTAAATGTACTTAATGAGTATTATGTATTGTATACCTGAATCATTATTACTGATGCTTTAATGTTGCAGTTGCTCATATGTTACTGTTTACAGTTTGATCTAATTAATCTTGTATTCTAAGGTTTTTCTGTTAAGTCACATGTTTACCTTGTAACTAAACCTCACTAATAAATGTAAAGGAGTAAAATCAGTTTCTCTGAACTTTGGTGGAATAGAAGCACCAAGTAGAAATACTCAAGTGGAAGTACATCAGAGTTTTTCTTCAGTATATGTACTTGAAGAATATCATGTTTTCCATTAACAGTGTTGAGGTTAGTGCTCAGATCAAAGTACCCACAATGCCCTTTGAGTTCTGAGGGCAGTCAGACCTGTTCAGAGCGTTGCACATCTCAATGGTGACAAGCACAGACAGAGCCATGGTCATCGGGGGAGAAGATTCGAACACCTCGCAGTGGACGCCAGCAAATTCCTCATTCTCCTCGTTGCACTGCATGAAGTGTGACTGATGGAGGAGATAAAAACACACGTTTGTAATGCAAAATGGTATCGAAACCAGAATGTCATTCAGTCTTAAGATCCCTCTGAAGTGTGTGTTTGTAGTTACAGCAGTTAACTTTGTGATAAGGTACCACAGATGCATATTATGTAGGACAAGTTCACAAATAACCGCTTTAAATACTAACCAGCTGGTAGAAGGTGACCATTGGGCCATCGTCACTGTACAGGAACCACCAAGCAGCTGCTGCGACAGTTGCAGCACCAACATAACCTGAAAGCCAACATATTACTGTTTAACCACATACATTTTTCATCCAAATTATTGAATAAACAAGTTGATGGTGCACTTAAAATGGCTAAATGTGAAATTTGATGCATGATACTTAGGAGGTAGATGTGTTGCCATGGCAACATCATCACTTAGATGAAGATTGCAGATGCAGTTCAAGCTTTAAAACTGATAACTGATGCAGGAGAACATTTTTAAGATGCATTCCTCTGCCTTCATCAAAGCCTTGTGCCTAAATTGCCCACAAAGCAACCTGACCACTTACATTTCAGGCTACACAGATCTGATTAGCTCACTTCTTACTGACGTAACTCAGTGCAGCTCCATCTCCTTTATTAGACATATCAAAGAAAACTGCCAGTATGACTCAACAGGTGAGACAGCAGTAAAATAAAAACTGAGGTTTAGTATGAAGACAACCTTTTTTTAAGATTAGCCAATATAACAGATCATTTCTGGTCCATGTTCCTGCCCTCAAATGTTTTAATGGGTGAGACTAAATGAAGAAGCTGTAAAGTGAGCAAGAACCAAGTGTTTTACATCCAATGGCCATATATCTGAAGAAGAGCCAGCCAGAGATGAGGGGCTCTTTGGGGGTGCGAGGAGCTTTGCTCATGATGTCCAAGTCCGGAGGGTTGAAGCCCAGCGCGGTTGCTGGCAGGCCGTCAGTCACAAGATTGACCCATAGCAGCTGGACAGGGATCAGGGCCTCAGGCAGACCCAGGGCAGCGGTCAGAAAGATGCTGAGGAAAAGGGAAGAAAAAGAATCCTTTTCTTAGTTTGTCCTCATCTTAGGCAAAGACGGGCAAAAATTATCACGAGGAGGAGTATAATGTACTCACCAAACAACCTCGCCTATATTGGAGGAGATGAGGTAGCGGATGAACTGCTTCATGTTGTTGTAAATGGCTCTGCCCTCCTCAACAGCAGACACAATGGAAGAGAAGTTGTCATCAGCCAGGACCATCTCAGAGGCAGACTTGGCAACGGCAGTGCCAGAGCCCATGGCAATGCCGATCTCCGCCTTCTTCAAGGCAGGGGCATCGTTCACGCCATCACCAGTCTTGGTGAAAGACAGAAGGGAACATGGAGAAATAAGTTATTGTATTTGCCTGTCTTAGCTTTCAAGTCAAATGATTTCATTCAATTAAAACACAACACATTCTTCCCTTCTTCCTCACCATGGCAGTAATCTCATCAAAGCTCTGCAGGAACTCAACAATCTTAGACTTGTGGGACGGTTCCACTCTGGCAAAGCAGCAAGCCTTTCGGACGGCAATCTTCTGATCATCTGGCCCGAGGTCATCAAACTCACGCCCGGTGAAGGCCTTGCCAGTGACATCCTCATCCTCGCTGAAGATGCCAATACGACGGCAGATGGCCACAGCTGTGCCCTTGTTATCACCTGGGGGAAATAGAAATGATGATTTTTTTTTTTCTTTGTGAAGGGTTAACCTGATTTCTTATGCAAAGAGTTATGTTCACTGACCGGTAATCATGATGACACGGATACCAGCAACCTTGCACAGCTCGATGGAGCCCATAACTTCTTTACGAGGAGGGTCCAGCATACCAACACAGCCCACGAAGGTCAAATCAGTCTGGAGAAACAAAGAAATCAAAAAAATTTGTCCTCAGGACACAAACTACTGCAGCATTTCCCTACTTTTTACATTTCTTCCAAACACTAAACACAACATTCAGTGATATGCACTGCCACCAATGAGATATTCTTTCATTTCTTTCTTAATCTGTCCTCAGTCACCCACCTCATAGTCTACAAACTTGGACGATTCCTCCAGGTTCATCTCCTCCTTCCTTGGTGGTGTGTCACGGGTGGCCAGCGCCAAACAGCGGAGGGTGTCACGCCCAGTGCCCCACTCCTTGATGACTGACAAGATGTGATCTTTGACCGGGCCAGTCAGAGGTACGCGGGAGGTGCCCACGCGGATGTATGAACATCGGTCAATGACGCCCTCTGGAGCACCCTGATGATGCAGTAATAACAACCATTACAGACAACTGGCTCCTTTATCTGTTGTGGTTTTCTATAATGATGCCTCTTCTGAGGCCTTCATAGAGTCCCTCATTTGAGTAGCTTTTGATTTTGGCCTTTTATGTACATCTCATATCACACACTCACTTTGACAAACATCTTGTTTCCCATGGGGGCTTTGGCAGTTTTGGCAGTCTTGGCAGGACAGCAGTAGACTGACATGGACTTCCTGTCTCTGGAGAACTCCAGGGTGAACTCCTTCTTCATCAGCTGCTTGATTACCTGTCAGAAAGAGAAGGAAAATCAGGTGAACAAGAGGAGAGGGATCAAAAAGTTGGAGCCTACCATCTGTTGAGCCACCGTTTAACCATGTAATTTTTTAAAAAAAATCACTGATTAAACCTGCAACTCCACTTTTTAAATCACTTGGCAAGTAGACATTGATATACTGTAATACCACCTTTTTATGTTGATATGATGAACTACAGAGCAACATTATCATGTATTTAGACTCATGCCTCTGGCAAACCAAAGTCTAGTTTTCTCCCTCACAGCTCCTTTTTTGGTCTTATAGCGAGACTGAACCAAAACAGTAAAACTGCAGCCTAAAAACCAAAACAATTAGCTAAAAAAACCTCTTTTGAGCTGCAGAATACCCATGCAAGTAGCCAATTATAGCCACTTTGCTAGAGAGGTCCCCACTAAACATGAATTTAAATCTTTTAATTTGGAGACAAATAGACCTGTCCTCTATGTTAAAGAGACATCTTTGTGTACACAGCACATAATGTCTGAGATCTTTAGTGGACTTACAGAACAGCACGCATTTGACCTTTCCACTCTGGACAGGCCACGCACGTCAGTGTTGAACACGTTCATTTTCTCAACCAAACAGCACAGGGCTGTTTCAGTTGCTTCCCCCACTTTCTCATAAATACCCTTGGACTGCATCATGAATGGACAGAGAGAACGAAAGAGAGTGAGTACATTTCAAGCTGATCTTTGAGCAGTCTGTTACATGTAAACATAAATATAATGACCACAAAAAATTCTTGAGTTTGCTGCAGACCTCGTTGTAGTCCAGAGAGGAGTCATTGCACAGAGAACAGATGGTAGCCAGCTCAACCAGTCCGTCATACTGTCCGCACTTCACAGACATGCCGCTCTTTGTGCTAGTAGAAAATAAAGATATTGTTCTTCAGGAAAGTATTATTGTTTTCTATGTTCTTTCTAACATGATTGCTTTACTATTTTCACACTTACACTTCCCCCTCTGGGGTGTACTTTGAGCCCGAGATGTCGAACAGAGCGAGGGAAACATCGTCGCCCTCTACTGCATCAATGACAAACATCTACATGGAAATATGACAAAAAATTCTGGTGTTAGAACTTTTTAGTCTCCAGCAAACGTTCTGGAAAAAATGAACACAAGTATATTTGTGTGCATGTGTGAGTATGAACCTACCTTAGTTACACACATCTGGTTGGTGGTGAGGGTACCAGTTTTGTCAGAGCAAATGACTGAGGTGCATCCCAGGGTCTCCACAGAGGGCAGGCTTCTGACGATGGCGTTCTTCTTGGCCATACGGCGCGTTCCCAGAGCCAGGCAGGTGGTGATGACAGCAGGCAGCCCTGATGGACACATGGATGAATGTTGAATGAACCACAAAGTGAAGATAACATCCTGAGGGACTACATATTCCAGCTGGCCTGAAAACACTCGGCAGAAGTTGGAGAAAAAAAGATGTGTGGGCTGTTCTGCTTGTTTTCACCTACCACCAAACTGTTAAACCTCTTTCCTGGACAAGTGGTAAGAAAATAAATGAAGATCAATTTACTTATTTAACTCTTTTTAATTTGGGGCTTCAAAACCTGAACCAAAGGATGTATGAGGATGAGCAACAAATCTAGACAAACTAAAGAAATCAACAATGGTTTTATTAAACTTTTTAGCTACTGTACAACTGTAAAAATGAATCATAAACCAGTGGCCTTCATTTAATTTCTAGCTCTCTGGGTGGTGCAGCATCATACAGATGAGCTACATGAGGTGACTGAGTTATGATAATCTTTCTGGACAACCAAATGAAAGTTAATCCCGGAGGTTTACCTTCAGGGATAGCAGCCACAGCCAGAGCCACAGCAATCTTAAAATAGTAGATAGCACCACGGAACCAGGAGCCGCCATGGACGGGGTCATTGAAATGACCGATGTTGATTATCCAGACGGCCACACAAACGAGGGAGATGACCTGCAGTCAAAGAAATGTGCAAAATGTTACTTTGCTGTAGTTTTGTTTGATGTATAAATTCACTCTCTCAAGTTATGAGGTATAGTTTTAATAAATAATGTCCCTGTGGTGATAGAGTTTCAGAAAGGCTTCCATGTCTGTCTGCTTCATCTACCTTTGAGAGCTGCTCGCCAAACTCATCCAGTTTCTGCTGCAGAGGGGTTTTCTCCTGCTCGGTGGCAGCCATCTGATCACGAATCTTACCAATCTCAGTGGAGATGCCAGTTGCAACAACAATTCCAGTGGCTTTTCCAGCAGCAATATTGGTGCCCTGAAGAGAAAGGTGGATGATCTGCTGCATCTCACCATCTTGATGTTACAATGCCCACAGGATGAACCCTCATGCTCGTGGTGACCCTCTGATTTATCTCTAGTGCATTCATGAGGTTGACATTTGTGGTTCTGAGTGACCTGTTGCAACAACTACTCCTGGATGGATTGCCATGAAGTTTGGTACGGACATTCATTCCCACCTTAGCCTACACTGGTTTTTGTGACCACACCTGCAAAACTAATAGCAGCCTCAGCTGTACTTTATGCTTAGTGTTAATTAGCTAATGTTAGCATGCTAACACAACAAACTAAAGTGGTGGACATGGCAACAATTACAGTATATCTCCTCGACATCAGCGTGTTAGCGTTGCCATTGTGGGTTATCATGCTTATAATAGCATTTGCCTTGCAAAGCTGCTAGTGCAGTGACGCTGGTATTAGTTACAGTTTTCCATAACACTCACATGGAGCAGGTACAGCTGCATTTATTTTAGACACATTATGAGCTTATGAACTTAGGCATCTTACTGAGGCTAAATTCTTTCTGTCTCTGATACAACCGGGCAGTTTTAAATGTCATTTTAGAATAACAGTACATAAATCCTGTACTTCCTCTAAAATAAGCCTGGATAAATTAACAGCAGTAACACAGCATCACAACAAAAAAGATTAAACTAAATTGCATCTTCAGTTTATTACAGTGAAACATGCCTGCTGTCGTTGTAACTCACTGTCATCACTCTGCTAATAGCTCTGTTTTGCATTTGTTATCATTTACACCTGTGCTGTTCCTGCTGTGACATGTCAACATGTCTTCTGTGAAAAATGCCCATCAGTCTCTCCTGTTAGTAACAAGAGCGGGGTCAGTCAACTGGTTACAGGTCTGTATTTTACAGTAGTCTTTCAATATCTTCAGGCATCAGTGAGCCACAACCACTTAGACTGGTAGCTAATAGTCAGAATTTATGATCAGGATAAACTTCTGGAGATGCATCAAATTGTTTTCATGGCAGCTGTTTTTGCATTTCACAGCTGTGAAAGCACGGGTGTGACTAATACCATTAGTAATGGCTGCATTTCATTCAGGTGCGTTAACCTGCTCATTAGCCAATTTTTTCCAATTTGATGACAAATTTTAGGCACATTTCTAGAAAATCATCAAAGGAAAATGAAACTTAATCCATGTTTCCTTCCATTACAAATATCACTACAGAAGAAGGAGGCGCAATTATGTGACATAATTAAGAGTACTACTCAACAACGCTGTAGAAAACATGATGGAAATAAGACATTTCTATTTGTTTTATGTATTAATTTGGAAGAAGGTTACAGTCTCTTTATTGTTCCACACAGATGTGTTTTCTGTGTCTTAAGTGGGTGTTTAAGTCGTGCTCATGATTTATTTGCTAAATCTGTTTCCATTGCACTTTGTCGCATCTTGCTTTTATTGACACTCCTGTGCCAAGCAATATTTGTTTGGTGTTTTCTCTCACATAAAAACCGATGGATATAAATGCACATGCTAGCATGAGGTCATAGCATGGCTAAATGGAATTGGGCAATTGTTGTTATGCATGTGCTTTTTCTGCTATGACAAGTGAAAATGCCTGCTGTGAAAACAGTTTGTTTGGTGGAGAAAGGGGCGACAGTTGTAGGTTTGAGAAGAAAAACGTTTAGAAGAATGAACAGCAAAATTAGAACAGGACGGGGAGGAAAGGGACTCACAGAGAACAGCATGTTCTTCTTGTCCTGATTGACAGCTCGGGGGTCGGGGACGGGGTCAGTGTGCTTGATCACACTGACAGACTCACCTATGAAATAGAAGCGTTGGGTGGCTCTATCAGAGAAGGAAGCAGTCATCAGAAAGACATATGTTTGTTTGTCAGTTCATCTGTGACATGCCACCCACCAGTAAGAATGGACTGGTCCACACGCAGGGTTGTAGATTTGATGGAGATGAGTCTGATGTCGGCTGGCACTTTGTCACCAACTAAGTGCAAGCAGAAAAATGTACAAAAACATTACTTCATAAAACTATTTAATTTAATCTTTAAATGACTTTTATTTTGCAGCTTTTGCCTATTATCAGGATTACAGTGTACACTGCTTCATATCTAGAAGGAGGGATGGAGGAGGGGGGCACGGCTGATTGACCGGTTTCAGCACTCTGGGTAGATAGTGTCGTCATTGAAAACTGATACCACAGTCTGAGTAAGAGGGAGAGGGAGACCTTGGGGAGACCATGAAATGAAAAGAACAGGTGTACCGCAAACAGAGGGAGAGACAGCAAAGCAAGTGGGTATCAAGTGTATTTATACTCAAGTTGCCCACACAAAGTTCCTTCAGTTCCCCTCCACCACCTTTTTTCTATAGCTATCCTAAATGGGCCCACATCTAATCTCAAGGACGTCAGTACTGATGTACTGACACATACACACGCATGTGATTCAGAAGGATGCCAAGCACCAAACCTATTTTAATCAGCTATTATATTCTTGACTATTAGCCAGGTTTGTTGTTCTTTAAGTGTTGATCACAATTGTGCACCTCTAAGTGTTTCCAGTGCATGAATAAAGTAATGCACTTGCAAAGGAAGCAGGTAAAGTAGAAATAGGGATCTTACCAGAAACCTCCACCACATCACCAGGAACCATTTCCCTGGCCTTGATTCTCTGCACGTTCTTCCTGTCGGCCCGATAAACTTTTCCCATCTCAGGCTCGTACTCCTTCAGAGCTTCAATAGCGCTCTCTGCATTACGCTCCTGTTGAAAAAGTACACACACAAAAAAAAAAAAAAACAAAAAAGAATTTGGGGGGGGGGGGGGGGGTGTCCCAAACCCTATAAGATTTAATTAAGGCTATCGGTTGTGTTAATTTAAAGGGACAGTCCACCAATTTAGTATCAGGCTTCCATAAGGTTAGGAGACATTTGAAAGACCACTTAAAATACATGTGGACAAAAGTGATGCAGCAAAGGCAGAGATATCCTGACCTTTAGTCCCGGTATGGGTCAAGATCCAAAAACCCAGGATCCTACACTGCCCATAATGCAACTCAATATCATCCCTTCTATTGTCTGTGACTAGGAAATTGACTTTGACATGTAAAATCTGTGAAGACTGAGGCCATACTTTCCATAATTTTGCATTTGACTGAGTTCTATTCCTTGTTTTGACAGTATTAAGATATATCTACTACATCTGCCTAAAAATTACGATGGATATCGAGAAATCATAGGAGCTTTAATTTTAGATCTTTAGTGAATGCCATGTGTTTGCACTGTGAGACATCTGTATGTGAAAGCAGCCTCAAGCCGAACAACAGCTTGATCAGAGCAGACAGACAATGATGTTCAGTTCAGTCTTTCTTCCAAGGCTGCCACCAACCGTCTCAAAGTGCAAAGCCCGACTTATACCAACCGCCCTCCCTCTTTCCATTCTCCCCCATACTTCCCATGTGTGAATTCTTGTGCATAGTTTCCAAATGACTGCCACACAGTTGAAGCCCCTTACCACACGCATCACACACACACACCCTGGGCCTGGTGGTAATCTGATCATCCTTCCATATTTTTCCTGTGGATTTCACAGTGTCGACTGTAATGAAGTGGACTACGCCTTGAGCCTTCGAGGTAGGACGAGTCCCAGTCCATAACTCTGCTCCTCCCCCTCTTCCCTCCACTCACCCTGTTGACTTAACCTTTCACATTTTCTCCTCCTGCTGACATCATTCCACCCCCTCTGGCTTCCTTTGAACTTTGAGCTCTCAGCCTCTGCTGAAGTAACATAAAGGACACGGATCGCGACAGTGTGTGTGTGTGTTGTGTGTGATTTATCACATCTTATTGTTGCTAAGTATAAGAGTCTATTTAGGTGTGTGTAAAAGAGGCAGGTATGTGTCTTTGTGATTGCGACTGGTCCTCTATGTGTGCGTGCTCATTGACCTGCCACACTCCAACGACAGCATTTGCAATGAGGATGAGGAGGATGACGAAGGGTTCGACAAAGGCAGTGACAGTTTCCTCACCTTCCTCAAACCAAGCCAGTACCTGAGAGAGAGAGACACGATACAAATTTGAATGAAAGTGTCATTTACTTTGTTTATAATGATTAGAATTTCAGTGGATTGTGGTGATGCACATTTTCACTAGCAAACTCAAACTTTTTATCAAATGTTCTCCTTGTTTACAAGAACAAAACCTATAAACAACTGGGAACATTAGGACTGCAACTAAATTAAAACAACTTTCATTATCAGTTATTCTGCCAATTGACACGTTTTAGTCAAGAAATTATAAGAACATTTAGAAAACTATCCATGAGAAATTCCTAGTGGGAATTGTTAGAACAGTACAAAGCAAAATGAATCCAGTTACAATGATTTACAAGCAAAGTTTCACATAATAGCAAATGTTTAGCATTTTTACTTTAGAAAAGACTTTAAAAAATTAATCAAAAATAAGTGTTTGTTGGTTACAGTTCTGATGACAAACCAACTGATTCAGCACTAGTTGTTTGAATGCAAATTATTTACTTCATGGCGTTTCTCTTTTACATGAGGTATGAACCCAGACAGCCAGTGTGAGCTCTCAAATCTTCACTTACAAATCCTAAACCTTTGCTCAAACCTTTCCCTTAATTACATTTAAGCTCAAAATAAAAGAAAAACCTTTCAAACCCTGTAATAAAATCAAGTGTACACATGCATGTCCCAACATTTCGTTAAGCTATATGATACGGTGCTGACATGAGCAGTCAATCAGCAGAAAATTAACTTAGTCAAAATTATCGACAATCATTTATCAAGCAACGATGCCAAATGTTCTCTAGTTTCAGCTCCTTAAATATGGGGATTTGTTGCTTTTTTGCTGTTTTATATAGTTATTAAAAAAAAAAAAAACCTAAAATAGCAAGCAAGCAAAATTTATTTATATAGCACCTTTCTAAACCTACATTACAAGGTGCTTTCCAGTAAAACAATCAGTAAAATGCCAGTAAAAGCCAGTGAATACAAATGCGTTTTGAGAAGTGATCTAAAAATGGTCAGGTTCGGAGTAGATCTAATATCCCGTGGCAGACCATTCCACAGTATAGGAGCCCGAACTGAAAAAGCTTGGTCTCCCCAATGTTTCCGTCTGGACTTTGGTACTTCTAGGAACAACTGGTTTGAAGAACCAAGTGTCCTTTCTGGAGCATAAAAACGCACAAGCTCAGAGGTATAGTTGTAGCTCTACTATGTCATTTACACTGTGTAAATACAACCCCAAGTCAGAAAAAGTTGGGACAGTAAAGTGTTTACCACAGTGTGATGTCACCGTTCCTTTTCACAGCACTATAAAGATGTTTAGGGACTGAGGACACCAAATGATTACTGTAAGTGTGTCAGGTGTCATTTTGTCCTGTTCTTCCTGCAAACAAGTCTTAAGGTGCAACAGTCCTGGGCCTTTGTTGACGCAATTTGTGTTTCAAAATGCTCCACATATTGTCTACTGGGGACAGGTTGGGACTGTAGGCAGGCCAGTCCAGCACTTGCCCCCTTTTCCTCCACTGCCAGGCCATGGTAATGTGCAGTACGAGGTTTTGTATTGTCTTGCTGAAGTGAGCATGGGCATCCCTGGAAAAGATGTCGTTGAAGGCAGCATATGTTGCTCCAAGATCTCTCTGTGTTGTTCAGCATTAATGGAGCCATCACAGAAGTGTAAGTGACCTTTGCCCTGGGCACTGACACAACCCCAGACCATGACACACCCTGGCTTTTGGACCTGTTGCTGGTAACAGCCTGGACGGTCCTTTTCATCTTTTGTCCGGAGCACACGGTGTCCATTCCTTACAAAAAAAGACCTCACAGTCCACGTTTCCACTGTGTGACGGTCCATCCCAGATGCCTCTGAACAGTCGACTACGCCTCTGGACACTGTTGACATAGAGCTTTCTTTGGGCACAGTACAGTTTTAAGTGAAATTTAAGGATGTAACTACGTATTGTAGTGCCTGACACAGGTGAGCCAAAGTCATCCTGATCCCATGTGGTTATATCACTTATAGAACAGTGACGATTCTTCTTGCAGCACCATCTGAGGTATCGGAGAGCTCAGACATCCAGCTTAGGCTCGGCCCTTTACGCGCTGAAATCCCTCCAGATTCCTTGAATCATATAAAAATGATGTTCTCCACCATAGAGGGTGACGTGTCCAAATCCCTCCCTATCTTTCTTTGAGGAACTTTTTTTTTTCTCAAACATTTCAATAATTTTCTCACACATATGTTGGCAAACTGGCGATCCTCGGCCCAACTTTGCTCTTTAAGGGCTCAGTCTTTCCTGGATGCCACTTTTGTACCAAATCATGGTTGCAGTCACCTGTTGACATCAGTCATTTCAAATAGAATCATCATTGTTTTACCTCATTACTGGTCCTAAAATGCAACCGGCCCAACTTTTGTTGGAATGCGTTGCAGCATCAGAATTGAAATGAGTGATTATTTTAAACAAATATAATATAATGAGTGTACTGCAATACTACAGATTTTGCAGTGTTATCTTTACTGCTGGTCAGCATTAGACAAACATAAGAGAGTCATGGTGAGGAGCTATTTATGACAGGTATGAACTGTTAAAGGATCGAGTGACACTTCATTTGTTGTCGTTTTGTTTTACGTCACGCAGTGTGCGAAGCCTTTTCCTTGCATGCGACTATTCCAAACCTATAGTCTAACACGTGTGAGAGACACAGATTAGTTGCAGGCCAGCGGAGCACAGAGCTAACCACAGACAAGATGAGCATCATCCCACCATATCCTCCTCCATTTGCAGTGAAATTTTTGCTCATCATCGGCCATGTTTTTCATTTGCCTCCTTTTTATCCCACATCTTTTCTCACCCTTCCCCATAAATAGCTTCTACCGCTCACTATCTCTGGTCTGTCTTCCCCCTGTCTGTCTTCAAAGACGATCGATCTCCAGAGTGAGAGTCAGAGCCTGTCAGCACATTGCAGTGGGAGGACATTCCTGTGTGTATGAATAGGATGACCATGTACTTGCAGTATTTAGTGTTCTCCCTTTTAGAAACCATATACGCCTCTGAATCTATTGCTCTCGTTTGTCACTGTAACAAACAAAGCCATTGTGCAACCCAATCCCCGCCCCACCCCCTGTTTTCCTCTCCGTCTCTCACTCTTGCCTGCAAGCCATCTCTCGTTCCTTCCGTCCCTGACCTTTGTCCAAGGATACAGTTTCTCGTTCTGGCTTGAGACTTTCTTAAAATAAAGCTCCTGCCATGCATATGTGTGCATGCGGACACACACAGCCACTCTCGTCATTTTCTTTGTCTTGCACTCTCTATTTCACACATACACACAGACACACAGCTGTCAGGCCTTCTAAGGCCATAGTGACAGCTGTACAGGGAGGCCGAGGGCAGAGATCGAGGATTAAGACAATGTGTTCAACACACTCTCCACAAAACTGTTTTGGGGAGAGCCACAGGGAGGGGAGGAGGGAGAGAGGGATTCCTCATATAAATGAGAGTGAGGACATGGGTCTAAATGTAATTTAATAACTCAGTGAGGTACACACTGTCTTTGTCGCCCTGAGTGTGTGCGTGTGATGACAAAGAAAACAGGCGAGGGGTTAGAGAAGATGCAGCTCGTTGCTAAAGGCTGAAGCACATTCACTGTCGCTTTCTTTCCCTTAACATTTACTTCTGTAATCACCAATCTGACTCTTCTTATTCCTATTATTTTATCAAACTAGTTCTGTTTGTTAGATACTTCGTTAACATCAATACATGTTTTAGGTACAGATCCTCATTTGCAACAACCTTGAGCAGCTAATATGACATTTTTGTAGCCCCTAAATTCTGGCTGAGTCAAAAAGTGATGTTAATACAACTGAAACATAACCAGTTTGTTGTGGATAGAATGAGAGCAAGGGCGTAAAAGTTCTTTAACTGCTGATACCACCTTCTCACTGGTTAACTTCACCATAATAAATAGAGCCTTTTATTAGGTGTAAACTTAAATAACTCTTGATTACCTCTTTATATTTTGTGACAGACTGGAAAAATTATGCAACAGCCTGGAGGGGAAATTACTAGCTCTTTGCTACTCTGGAAAAGGTGGCAGAATAGTGCAAGAGTATGAAAATCAATCAAAAATGTCTCTGTGAAAGAGTCATAACTGTTCAACACCAGCTAAAAATATCAGCTTTAAAGATTGGAAGAAAGACTGAACTTTTTTCTTGGGTGTTTTTCTTTGCCAAACCTTTTATAGTGACAGAGGAAAATCTGCTAAATAGTTAATAGTCATTGCAAACTTCCAAGCAATTTAGTTTGGACCGAAGTGACACACCAAATAAAATAAATGTAAATGAACTACAGCTGTAGGGTCAGCGATTAAACCTCTGCAAAACAGTACTGAATATTGCAAAGAGCATATCGTGGACAGACAGTGCACAGACTTACAAATGAGATGCAGGCAGCCAGCAGTAAGATTCTGACCAACAGGTCCTCAAACTGTTCCACCACCAGCTCCCAGATACTCTTTCCTATTAAAAAGAAAATACAGAAAATAATACACATTATTAAACCATGTATGGTCTCACATGTAGTTCATTCATTTATACACTGCTATCGTTGTAGACTTATCTGGTAAAATCTTATGTAATGTCAATATAATCTCTCAATAATAATTTTGTGAATTTGCATGAGACTGATGAACTAACTAAAGTAAAGCAGGAAAAGCACAGACTATAATAAGGTCAATGATACCTATTTGATAAGTGATTTATGTGCTTCCACATACTTGCGTATACCTCATATTTTAATATCTGCCCCCTACTGTAAGTGACCAAGGTCTACAAAGTCACTCCACTTGTTCCTATATTGCCTTGCTTGTTTGTTTTTTTTTGGTCAAATGGATGCAGCCGTGTGCTGGCTCTGAAATCACTGGTGCAGCAACAGATAGGTCTAATGCTGGTAGACTACAGGCTGCCGCTGGACGACAGATGAAATGACTTGGATCAATTGATGTCTGGAGTTGTCTGTGGTGTAAACATATTAGTTGTCTGGTTCTCTATTATCCACCACAGGCACATTGGTGGACAGAGCAAGAAGCCAACGGTGTCAAACAAATGACTGTCATCACAGGAAGTGAGGGACACAGGTGTGTCCAGGTGGCACGGAGTTAGTTCAAAGATGCACTCTGATCAAATGTGAATAATTCAAAAGCAGGCGTTTGAGGCTTAAAGTGGACTCACCCTCCTCTGCTGGCAGCTCTGTGGGTGAAAAGAGAAAGATTATTTTAAAAAGCATCATTGCACACCACTGTTACTGCATTTGTTTTTAATATCTGTGGTGTAAACTGTCAATGAGGACAAAACAGCTTTGACACCTTTAGTAATCAAAGCATAGAAGCTATAATGTACTCCACTCCTAAAGGCAGATTAAACTACTGGTAGGACTAAATTGATTTTTACTGAACTGTTGCAGACATTTTAAGCAACATCCACCTGTGGACTAAGTGATTCATTCACATAAAAATTAGCCAGTTAGGTAGGTTAAGGCCTCATTGTCCTGCTGCCAGCTTATGACACAAATATAGTAGTTTTAGTTGCTGACCTTTACAGTGACCCTTAATTGCTCTGTTAATCTAGTTTGCTGTTTCTCTGTCAACATCTGCTTATCAGCTGAGATGCTGGACACCAAATACAGTCAGTGCAACCTGTTTGAGCAACCCAATGTCCAAGCTCATAGGGAACCAAATATACACTTAACTGTGGGGAAGATACTGTAGTCTGTAAAAACAGACGTTTTAACTTGGCACTGCAGGAAATGCACCATTGCACTTCATAATATTAATGATGTTTGGGTTCTGACCCATTTAGGTACCATGGTTTACTGGGAAACCTAAATAAAACTCAGCAACTGTTAGTAATACAGTTTTCCCTGCTTTGACAAGTGTCCCTTGTGAAAAAGGCCTGAAGGATGCAGGTGTTTTCTTAAATGGAGACTAAATTTACTCAGACCTTGAGTTAGTTCCAAAGTCAAGAATGAACTCTGATACTTAAAGTCACTCAGTTTCAAGATAAAAATACATAGATTATTTTCAATCTAAACTAAAGCCAACAGCAATTGTCAGAAACCTGAAACTCTGATGCACCTGCCCCACAAACTCTGATGCACCTGCCCCACAAACACCCCCCCCCCCCATCCCCCCCTTTGTGTCACTGCAGACAGTTTCCCTTAATTAGCCCATCATCACAAAGGCTCACACTGTGCCAGTTCAGTTATCAGTCTTCATCAATCCTCCCACCTCTTCTCCTCCTTCACCTTATCTTCTTCCCTCAGTGTCTGTTTCTGCCATTTTGTTTTGCTAAACCCCTCAGGCACACCGTGTCTGTGCCCCTACAACTTCTCTTTGTAGCTAAGTCCAGTGCGCTTCCTCCATCCTGCGATTCTTCAATCATTACTACTCTTTCTTTGCACTCTCCAGTGCTCCACCCAACAGTTCCATCTTGTTATCCATCCCTTTATCTCCCTCACCGTTGAAGCCATACTTGTCCAGATTCTTCTTAACCTGCTCAGGCGTCAGGCCGGTGTCTTCAGTGACGCCAAAGTGGGACATAACATCCGCTGATTCTCTGGTGTGTGCGTTCTCCATCCTCACTGAAACAGAGAGGCTTCAGGACAAAGGGATACAGAAAAAACACAAACACACACATCAGTCTGAGCAGCTCAGCTGGCCTGATAATGACAGTAAAGTATATATATAAAAAAAAACAAAAAAAAAAACCAACAACAACACTGACTATGTGCACCCACCACTTTCGTGAAGTGTGAGATTAGGATTAAAAACTGGCAACCCCCTTGCGTTCACACTTGTTCTCTCTGCCCCCTCTCTGGGCTGTTGCTCTCCTCTCTGAGCCCTGGACTAACAGAAAGTGCAACCCAACAAACTGTCCTGAAAAGTTTTATACAGATGGAAAAGTGGCCCCATTGGTGCTCATCATGCACTCTTCCCTCATTGGCTGAGAACGTCACAAATAGGTGGGCAGGGATCGCCCTTTGGTAGAGAAATGGGGGGGTGCAACAACTGCAGAGCGGTCTGGCAAGCTGGAAATAAGATGTGTATAAGAGAACATGCACGGTCAGGACAATGAGGAGGGGCAACAATGACTTTCTGAATGAGGAGTAGGGGACACTAATAGAAACATGACAGAGTACTACTCTGGATACTCAAGAAGTGAATAAAAGGTGCATAAAACTGTCAAAAATGTTTGAAAAGATGTCGAGAACAAATTCACTTTACTCCCATACCTTTGACAGCTACAGTTACTGGCTATTTTATAAATTAAGAGTTTACATTCAAGAAAACATGGAGTATAAAATGTCACCGTCAATCCAATGGTTCTCAAACCTTTCACAGTGGGACGGACTCCTTACATAAAAACACTAAACTTCTTAAGTAGTTTAATTATAATGCTTGTTCACAGTAAAATATTCCAAAAACACAAAACAATAGCAATTTTTAAAAAATGAAAACAAATGTGTTGCAGACCTTTGTCTTTTCTTCAGTCCTCTATCATTAATCATCCCCCTACAACTTAATGGTGTTTATTTTTACAGTATGTATGAGTCAGAGAGGAAAATTTTCCTGCAAAACAAATATATTTTGCTGACACCTTTATTTAGGGACTTCTTTCCAGTACTTCTTCCTCTTCTGGACATTGCTTAAGTATCAATCTATCTGATAAAGAACATCAGCAGTGAGTTCTGTTGTGACAGACAACTGTTCAACAGGGGAAACACATTCACATAAAATTCACTCAGAAAAGCAATTTACAGGAAAGGGAGCAGCCGAGATCCACCATTTCTTTCCTTGTCCATGTGAAAGTAAAGGAAGAGTGCTGTGCAGAGCCCCTTTAAAAGTATATATGGATCAGCTGATCTACAACTACAGACACACACATAGAGATGCAAAGAATGCTAAGGCCTTAAGGGCCTGGGGTGACAAACACAAACAGGGATGTTTTAATGAGTGAATACTGTATCTTTTGACTCTTAAACAAACAAACTAGCAAGAGGTCAGTCCTCCTTTGAAAGAGTATAAAGACATAGAGCTTAGAGATGCTTGTCAGAGAACGCTAAGAAGGTCATCTCTCCATGCCGACATAAGCCCTGAGATGATTTATCAACACTACTTGAATCCTTCAGAGAGCTCTTGCTTGCTGATAATTGCTGGTCTGAAAACCAAGACAATATCCTATTGCACATAAAGTATGTACCCAGTGCTATTCAGCAAATGTTAGCATGCTAACATGCTAAACTAATTAATGTGGTGATTATTATACCTGCTTAACGTTAACATGATAGCATAGTCATTGTAATTAGCATTTAGCTAAAAGTCCAGCCTCCCAGAGCTGCTCACTTGTCAGTATACGTGTAGTCTTGTTTGTCCATAAGTCAGTTTGGGTGAAACAGAATTAAATTACTTGCACTTTACATGACTAAAGCTTGTACCTACATACGGTACATGTACAATAGGTATAAGGAAGGCAAGTTGAAGTTTGAAGGGGTAATATTTTGGAACTTTAAAAGAATGAACATTGTTAGTGTTTTTCAACTAACTTTTGTCACTTTTGACCTGTACAGGGTCAGACAATAAAAACCCAGAAAGCAGCCTGGTCATTGACCGTCAATATTCACAGTTTTTTTTCTATCTGCCCCAACATACTGTATGCCTTTTGCTTCTTTCCTCCTCCAGGCTACCGTCAGTATTTAAGCTGCTCCACTGTGTGTTTCCTCTCTGACCCGAGGTGCGGTGTTGGGCAGGCTGCAGCAGTGCAAAGCTCAAGGTGGCTCAATGACATTTAACTCAATCTCCCCGTGGGATTAGGTTACTGTGGCTCATTCTAAGCACTGTGCTCTAATGCCAAGAAAACACGGCAGTGACAATTCCGTGCACACATGCGTGCCAGTGCTCTTGCAGAGTGAGAAGTGTCATTCTCAAAACACTTCTCTGGGATCATTACTTGTAAAGAATAATTTTGTATGTCAAGTAATTCATGGAGAGAGTCAGTGTTGCTCAGAGTACTCCACCGCGACACAGACGTATTTTATATTCACAGTTTTCCGACTTTTTGTTATGCAGGTACTTGACTGACTTATCCTTCCAAAATCACTTTCTCTACTTGGCTAACCTTATTCTGTATTTTGATGAAGTAGTTGTTATAGCTGCCAAGCTGGCTGGTAGAGCGTTTACGGTTTGGTGCCGACACATGTCAACATGTCATATTTTCTGTCATGATTGTTGACTTTTGAGTCCCGGGATAACGCGGACAAGAGAGAGGCCACAGTACTCATAAACCAGGATGTCCTCTGCTGTCAACCCCTCAGTGCACTGCACAAAATCTTAGTCCAACACTGACAGTTACCAAAATGTTGATAAAGATCTGGGTATTTGCCATGACAACAATATAAAGCATAATTACAATAAGAAATCAAATCGTCCTATGTCTATTTCATTATTTCTAGCTTACATACTATACTATATAAAACTGTTACCCTGCTATCAGAATCTACATTCACCTACCCAGTCTTAAAGTTTGATTATATTCATGTAAGTTCAAGAAAAAAAGAAATTGTGACAAATAATTTATAGACGTATCTGTCATTCATTATGACAAGATGGAACATACTTGAAACAGGAAGATACATGCAATACATTTTGCATCAAATATGTAACTGCTAATAAATTATACCAGTATTAATTTCTGTAGTCATTCATTGCTGACAGTTTTAGTGTGCAAAGTCTGAGCTCATAAAACTAGAAAAGCAAAAAAGAAAAAAGCTGCAGCATTTGAACTTTGTGACTGACACTTAATTTTCTTCCACTTTTTGTACATAACCTGCAGTTATGTACCACATTCTCCTTTTCCATCAAATGATTATAAGCGAAATGATTTGGAGCTGGGACGGGGACAGGCTCAGTCGTGATGTAACGACTGCTCGTTGGCAGGCGGCTCTGTGTGGGAGGTGGACCGTCTGACTGCACTGCTCGTCGCTGTGATAGCGATAGGAAGCAGATTGAGGGTGGATGACGAAGGCCAAAAGTAGCAAGCTGTAGTGTGTGTGTAGGTAGGTAGTATGTATTGTATACTGCACTGTATTATTAGCTGAAGCAGGGCAGCTGGGGGTTGAAGTGCCCCACTGTAACTGTACCTATAGTAGCAGTTGTGCCCCTCTTGTATAAATAGTACAGTGGCCATGTGGACATGCATCTATGACACGGTGGCAGATTTTCAGTTTTTTTCTTTCAAGGAGTTTTGAGAATGTGACACCCTGCAGATGTTACACGGTGGCTTGAAGGTTGCAACAAGGTGGAGATGAGTGTTTACATTCTCTATAGTAACCAGATTATTCCCGTTAAACTATTTATCTTATTTACAGCGGCTGTCATCTTATTTTTTTCAAACCAGACACTCTGCGCAGTAGCGAGAAGTGGAGCGACAGCATCAGACTGCCAATAAGAGCTGTTAAATCAACCAAAATACACCTTACACCTCTTTTTATATCATCAAATAACCACCTTACCATAAACATGGCCACTTGTACACACATCTGCATGAGAATATCTACCAAAAACATATTTGCTTTGTACTTTGAGTTTTTAGTGCTGCTCATGTTCCTTTCCCTGAAATGGAGGAGGCAGGATTTATGACCCATACTACAACCAGCCACCAGGGGGCGATTGTGTTTTGGTAAATGGTAAATGGTCTTATACATAGCGCTTTTCTACGCTTTACAGCACACTCAAAGCGCTTTCACACTATTTGGCCATTCACCCACTCGCATTCACACACCAGTGTTATCACCGGGAGCAACTGGGGGTTCATTGTCTTGCTCAAGGACACTTCGACATGTTGACTGGACAAGCCGGGAATCGAACCTCCGGTTAGGAAACGACCCGCTCTACCTCCTGAGCCACAGCCGCCCCCCCAGTTTTGACGGCTTCAAGTGTGGGAGCTCTTAGCCTGTCCGTTGTTTTTACAGTCGATGGTCAAAACCAGTAACTTCCTCCACTTGCTGCCTTACTAAATTCTCAGAGTGAAGAAATGGTCATGCACTTAGTTTTTATGCTTCGGTTTTGGTACAGACTGGTCAAACAAAATGCAATATATTTAGTTAATTAGTGAGATTTAGATGTTAAAGCAGTAATATCCTACCTAGTTAACCCAGAAACTACAGGATCAATGTTTGGGTAACCTGTGATAGCAGGACCAGCTTGCCTGCAGGTATACACCATCTTGATTAATAACTGTCAATCTTGACCAGGAATACCACAGATGGTATTTAGCAAATACCACGCAAGGGTTTCAAAATACATGCCCTGTGGTCTGTGATAAATAGCACAATATGTTTCACCTGGCATTACTGCAGCCAAAATAATCCATAAATATTATTTATTCTACTGAAAAATGATCTGAATATCTCAATGAGGGCTGCAAAAGTACAAGTTTTAAGAAGTAGTGCAGTGAGTGTTAGACGTATTAGACATAAAGGAAATAATCTCTAGCACAGAATCATGTGGCAATTATTTGTTTTGATAGACTTATAAACAGCATCCATTTTTGGCTGGGAGCACAAGGTGGTAACATGAAGCAAACATAACTTAAGAGTTAACGAAGCGTGTCCCTGAGAACAGGCTCTCGTCTTGCTCCGTTATGTCACCACATCTTAGTTACCCGACTCCCTCCTCTCTGTCTGGTCCAAGGAGAATCTGAAAACTGATTAAGAGCCACTTCCTCCTCAGAAGCAGAGCCAACACACATGCATGTGCACAAACCTATATATACACACCCTGCATCATGTCTCCAAGATCTGTGTTCATGCTTTTGTTTACACAGCCCTGTCTAGGCTTTAATAAGACTTAAGACATCAGTTGGTGGCTCAGTACCAGCTACTGCTCTGCTTGTATTATGCATTTCAATCTCAATACAGACCAACAAAAAATCTGTGAAAACACAAATGCAGCAGTGACCAGGAGGTTTAGAATGAGCTATAGTAGGACTAATCAGAGCTGCAGTGGCTGACACGCCACACACAGTCTAGTTCTGAAAAACAGACGGACTTGGCACAAGGTTTATCAATCGGAGTTTAAGCTAAAACTAATGCAATTTCTGTGATACAACTTTCAGTCGTTTGCATTCAAGTGATATTGCATAGGGTTGTACTCACTTCAGTTGGATACTGTACAACAAAAGTGATATGTTATTTCATATATATATATATATATATATAACTGAACAGTCAACTGGCAAAGAA